AACAAACAATTAAAGTTAGTAGAGGTGTCTAGAGACAATGTAGGTTGGCGCCAGAACAGGGAGCTTTAGAAATTCCAAAGCGGGAATCTTAAGCAAACTAAGTAAGAAATTTCATTTTCAGATATTTATTTATTTAAAAGAACTTGTATGATAATATTTAGGGAATATTTTTCAGAAATACCATTAATTCTCAGTTCCTAATAACCCTTTGTCAGACATCTTAATGCCATTAAATTCAAACTGCCATGATTGCTTAATCTAGACTTTTCATTACCATTTCAACCCGCTCCCTTTCCCATATCACTTTTCCCGATAATCCCAACCCAAGTACATGCTACATGGAATTTTCTAATTTAAATGAAGTTGCGGCTGATTAGGATTCGTAGAACTGCAGGCACCATAAAAGCGAAAGTCTTGACGCCATTAGAGGCAGCAATCAAAGCCAGCTGGAGGTGGGGGAATAGGAGGGGCTCATAAAGTGTCAACTATGACTAGTGCCATGAGTACACAGACAACAAGGAGATACACAACCAGATAGATAGGAACGAACCAGCCCGAGATCCGCGGAGCAATGCGATGCTCAAATAACAAATGGAATCAGAGCCGCTCTATATTTGGCTTCATGACGTTATGGTCTTGGCAAACAAAGACTTTTCCAACACTCGATGGATTTAAAATACACTGAAGAAAATAGTAAGTCAGTTCTTCTCGAGATCAATGGTATTAAGGTTAAGAAAAATATTTAAAATAGTATGAGTTTAATAATTATTAGAATATTATTAGAATATAATTCCCCTTTTAATTGTTTTCAGTGTAGTCTAGATAAGGCATAGGGGATCAGTATGGCCACTGAGAAGGAAGAGTGGGAAGACACTGGGCCTGTTGTTGTCACGAGATTAAGGCATTTCCTCTTTGACGTTAGCGCTATACATGCCATCTCGCTCCGGCACCCACTCCCGCCTTATCACGGCCATTGTAATTGCGCACTCAGGCCTGATCCCGTCCAGCGTCCATCTGAACGGTCCACCTAGCGACAACAATTACCCCGCGGCTAGGCCGGGCCAAGACTCCAGCACTCAATCAAAGGCGAAAGCCGAAAGCCGCCGCCTCGAACTCAAAATAAGGCAAAGGCGGTAGCCAAAGAAGCCGTCAAATTGTTACGCATAATGGATGTTTTTATCAGCGAAATGTTTTCTTCTTTTTTTTTTCTCCATCCTCCCCTCTATCTATCTATCTAGCATCCGACTACTGGACTTGGCTCGGATCTTGGCCAGTTGGAGTTTTCTTCTTTTGTATTTGGCCGTCTAGGGTCTGACGGCAGTCTTCTGGCTTTTGGCTTTGATGTCAACGTTTTGGCCGTTGAACTTTTCAGAGTTGGGTGTTGAATTTGGTTTTTGATTGGTTTTGAGATTCCGATTTTTTGGTAATGAAATGCAGCATGAAATTGGCCATCTGCGGTTAGAAATTTGAAAGGTTTTCTATTGTTTTTTGCAGGCACGTGCTCCTGCTGATATTTATCATAACTGGGAGAGATATTTCATTACAAAATAGAAAACCTATTTATATAAACTACAATAAATCACCTGTTTCTAAAAATTTAAATCCATGATCTTGTTATTGCACATGATCTTGTTAACACGCATCTCCGTCGAGTGGCAACTCAATGATCTTGCCAAGCAAATAAACAACTATAATGCTTCGGGAAATATGCAGATTCTCCTTCAGACCCATACATATTGTATGAGGCGGTGGGGGGAGCTGCCAGCCAGTAGCACTTGAAATTTGAATATAATATTGTAATAACTCAAGGGTCTACACAACAGAAGCGCCTCTCAGAGCGTCGCGTCGCCAGCAACTTTAGCACTTCAGTTTGAAGTTCGGGGCCTGAAACGGGCCTTAAAAAAAAAAATGTTGGCTACGACCGAGGGGGTCTGGTGTATCCGAGATGAGTCTGGGCCGTATTTGCTTATGATAATTTGAGAGCAAACAGCCATTGAGTGATGGAGTCGAAACGAAACGCAAACGCAAACGAAAGGTCCAAATCGTGAATGTGCAGAAAAACAAAAACGAAACACACGATTAAACACCTTTCAATTATTGGAGTATTGGAGTATTGGAGTACTGGAGTAGGTTTTCTGGCCGAAACCGAAAAGCCGTCAAGTGGTCACAGGGCCAGCCATGGACACAGATGATTATGATGCCTTCTCGCTGGTCGGCTACCGATTTCGATGATGCTCCACCTCGCCAACCATGCTGGCCATGTTGATTGAGTCACTTAATTTGCATACAAAAGTAGATTTGCAAGAAGACTAGAGTCTAGACTCTAGCAGACACTGGTCTGGTGTTGCAACAATGGAACTACATACTCAGAAGCAAATACAAATACCGAATACTGAATATCAAGTGCCAGGCCGTTAATAGCTATGGGCCGCATATAAAGGCGCTATAGTGTAGGGCTTGTTCAAATAAATGAACGGATAACAGCGAACTGAATGCGAGCTAAAAGTTTAAATCAATAAATTGCGATGCCCTGAGTTGGGGGCATCGCATATTTTCCATGGAAAATTACATCGCTTTCATAGACGATTTATGCTAATTTTAATTTGAACAGCCGTGCGAGAAAGACCTGATGGGCTCGTGCTCTCCATCAGGTCTCCTCCATCATTATTTCGCAACTTGGATGGAAAGACACCAGAGTACTTGTATATTTCATTTACAATGGCGATGCACGATTCGAGGACGTAGTGAACAGTTCAAGGTTATATCAGCTTTTGTTGATATAACTTTACACTGTCTTGCTGTCTATGATCAGGACTCCTTAAATAAAGAGACTACTACCTATTTACCCTACTGTTTTTGTAGGTTTTACCCGAAACATAGATAAAATTAATTGCATTCTAGGGATAAAACTGATTGAAAAAAGTATCCATGTCATTTAGCAAACCACTCATTCTGTCAATTGTAAATTCGACTACCTGTTGGCCCATTTATCCGGAACCGAACGGAAGTAAAGCGAAAAGCATTAGTCAAACAACAGGCATAGAGGCAGCACCAATTAGCTGGGTGCTGACAAATTGCACAGCTATTGGCAAGAAGGGTCTCTGACAGAAAAATAAAAACCCAAAAAGAACAGCCCTACAGGATCGATGTCTAATGGCTCGAGAATTGGAATTGAAAATGAAAACCTAACCGGAAATGTGAGCAACCAAATGTGGAAACGCGATGTGAGCATAAATTACGCGCAGACGGCACATGGCCAGAACGCAATTTTGGTTAAATGCCCGGCCGTCCGGCTAATTGTAAATTAATTTCAAAACGCTTATCGCCACAGCCAGCCTGGCTATAGAGGAGAGACTATGGCGATAATGCGTGGATGTGTCAGGCCAGCAAAGTGCTGTGTAAATTAGCTCGGCTAACTACATATTTGCCTGTTTACCCATCGAGAGCCTCAAGAATTTCGCAGTAATACAAACCAGATAAGCTTTTTGTTTAATCTCGAATATCGCTGGCCAACGGAAGCCACATTCGAGGCAAACACGAGACTTTTACTTTCTAGCCGGATCACGTTTCGCCATCGGCTTTGGTCGGGTCCCACATGGCGTATACTTAATTTCAGTCAAAGTTCATGTCGCCTCCATTGGCTTTAATTAGTTTCGAATTTGTAAGCAAGCACGCGTTTCCGTCGTTTGGACAAATGTTTTGCCAAGCTCTCGAAAAGGTCAGGTCCAAAATACACCATCCATCGGATATGTATCGACCACCTGCATTTAGGTAAAAAAAACATACATCTACCAGCAGGTCTAGCGAAGCCATATTGGGTTTTGTGGAGCCGCCATATCGATGCCCGAATGACGTAGCGTCAAAAAATAAATAACATATAAGAGACACGGTGGAAAAGGTTTTTAAATAATACATGATTTTTATACATGATAATAGTTGAGGGTATTTAGTTGAAAGATTTTTGGTCTGGAAAAACTAGGAAGTTTTAAAAAAATGTCTGAAATTTTGTTAAAAAAAGGTTTTAAGGTTATATTTTTATAGGGGAACACCAATTTAATCTCAAAATATATTATTGCACCAAATATAGTCTATTTAGTATCATATTTAATACCACCATAAAGCATATGATCTCCTAACTCAAAACATACCCCAAAAAGTATGCTGATAATGCTGTTGCCCTGCCGTACCTTTAAGATATTTTAGTTTCTGTTTAATATTTCTTTAAAAAATACTAAGATTCTCGAATATATTCAATATAATGATCAAATACGATTTGTTTTCTTTGGTGTAGACCTGAGTGGAATAAAATAAATGAACAGCAAAACGACAAACACACACGGCCGTGATCGGGGCGGTGAGGCTCGAGAGGCAGCTACAGGCATGAGACAAGAGGACCACCATGACAGCTCGGCTACAAATGGGCAAAGCATAAATACACAAAAAGATGCCAAAAAGAAGAAACACGGAGGAAAAAACAATTTCAATCATCATGATCATAATTAAAAGGCAACACACGCACACCAATAAAGACTCAGCATCCGACCCCGCAGCAACATGTTGCTGCTGTTGCTGCTGTTGCTGCCTCTTCGCCGCTGACTGTGCAACTTCGCACTTCAGAATTAAAAACAATTAGAGCGAGACAGCGGAAAGTGAGAATGGAAAGAGACAGGAAACAGAGTACGTGGGCGGAGCTAAACAGTGTTGGAAAATCAAGAGAGTTGCTGTCAGTGCAAGATTTTTCAAAATGGAGGTGCCAACAATGAGAGAGACACCCATAGCCAGATGCCATCTCGCCCTGGCAGCCAATGGCTGAGATCCGGCGGCGGTAGCGACGGCAGGTAACCTCGATCAATGGCTCAAAGATCCAAAACAAGTCAAGCTCGTTCCCAGCTCAATCGGAGAGCTCTCCGCCGCCAAACGGAACTTGCTCAGTTGAAATGCGAACTTGGCGAGATCCAGACACGACCGTCGGCAAAATATACATATACCCAATAGATCGATTCGTTTAACCATATATGCACCACCCGCATAAATATTAAAGTAACCCACATATGCGGCGGAACCACTTTGACACCATCGTAATCAAATTAACACCCACGCACATGAGAGACTTTTGTGATTGCCGTGATTTGCATAATTGACGCTAATCATCGGCATCTCGTGCTCGCCACCGACAAAAAAAAAAAACTACAATAACAATAGCCCCAACAGTTTCAGAAATAGTCAAGACCCCATCGGCAGACGGGCAGACGGATCACAATGCCATATGTTGTCGGGTAGTGCGCCCAGTGTGTTTTTTGTGCCAAAAGTGACAAAAAATTAAACAAAAAAAGCCAAAGTAAATTTTTGTCAAGTGTGAAGTACAGTATATATTTAGATTTCCACTCAATATGATCACCATGAATGAGCTGGTTGATCTGCGTATGCAGCAGCATATAGCGCACGAGATCTATCGCCAGCAGATAATGCAGCGTATACCAGGTAAGCTTTATCACCCATCCGCCCCGTTGGCCCGTTGGCCAGTCCGTGCTGTTAAGCATCATTAGCATTAATGGCCGTTACTTTTCGCCCTCTAAATTGGCCAAAATCAGCGGTCGTACGTACTCTGACTATATATCTCTGAGTGTTCGCCTTTATGGCCACACCGATCATAAAGCTGAGTAATGTGGGAAAGCGATTGCCGATCGCGAAACTTGATATCAAATGCGATTTGCATGTTTGCCGGCGATCGTTAAACAGCGGGATCAGCGCACTCCCAAACCAAAGTATTTTTTTATTTAATCGCACTCCTAAGTATGCCACATTATACGTATTTATTGGCTCCTTAATGGAGTGAATTAAGTTTGCCAATCGGCAAAGAATCAATGTAGCTTTTTTTTAACCAATAATTAAAGATCACTTCGATGAGGAACAAATATACAATGTCTCCTTTATTTCTTGGCATTTTTCTGATTAAATTGGGGTCTAATGAAAAGGGAATACAAGACTATTCCAAAAAAACTTTAATATTTAACCAATTCCTTGCCATTTCAGATCCCTTTCCTCCCATGCTGCCCATTCCCATGCCCCGACACGTGATCATGCCACCTCGAGTAACTCTGCCCGGCGTGGAGATGACTCTCCAAAACGACGATCTTTGGAAGCAGTTTCATCAAATTGGCACAGAAATGATCATCACCAAAAGCGGCAGGTAAGGATTAATGGCTCCTGATGGCTTGACTTTGAAATAAAATTAGGGAAAGGGGATCTTTAGGGATCGAAAACAGAAACAAACAGAGTTCGGTGCCGATGCATTAGCACGAACGTGAAAAATAATACCCCAGACATAGGGCAAAGAAAAATAAACCAACAGCTAAAGCACCCGATTCCCGATTCCGGGCCGATCCAAGTGCAAAGTCCCGAATCGAGAATAGAATCTCATCGTCGTCATCGACTGTTAAAGGCTCATTAGACGCAGGCGCCTGCAAATTGTTTACAGCCGCGTCGCGACACCAATTTTCACAGGCAAACAATGCGGAAGGATGTAGGATGTAGGCTACTTTGATGCATTGGCTCGCTCTCTACTTGGCAGGATGTGAAATCTGAAAAGCCAGCGCAGGTACAGCTGAGATGCAATGCTGAGATTTTCGAGGCTATCGGCGTAAGGCGTAAAGCGGACAAGTTGGCCGGCACTTTGCGTGCCCAGATTCGAGATAGGCTGCGCTGCGGAATCAAAGGCGCATAGATAGTTTATCGTGTATCTATCAGATGCACGACTCAGATGCTCACTCAGATGCCGACTACCTAAAAGTGTCCGCCACTTGTCCGAATGTGCGTAAAGTGGCGTCATCGTAATTTATTGTAGACTCTCGTCGCAGTGGGACGTCCTTTTGGTCGGGCGTCGGCGCTCCTTTAGCTCTCGTAGTCTCGGCCGGCATAAATCTTTGCGTCAAGGATACTTTGTCGTCATCTTTGTAGCGTTTTGTGTAGCGCTCTTAGCGTTTTTATTGTGGCGCCTGTCTGCAGACAAACTAAACGACAGCCCAAAATATATATTCCAGCTCACTTTCGAGTCCAAGTATCTGTATCTCGGAGTGACAGTGACCACAGCTTGTCGACAGATACGAGCAATTTCACACTTGGCCCTCTCCCAAGATGCCAACTGGCCGCTGGAGATAACAGTTCGATCGTCAGGCACCCAAAGGGTTTCCAAAAATACTCACACACAATCGAACAAAGAACATTAACATAAACTTTTGGGCAGCCAAAAGTCTTTCACGAACCCTTTGTTTTATATGTACGCCATATATGCCATGAATTATTCATAAAGTCTGTGTATTAAATACTTTTTATGCTCATCAAAAATGTTTTATGTGCGAGATGCAGTCGTCGCCGCCAGTAGAGCTCTCTTAGTGCAATCGATTTGAATTTTTAATGATTAGGCGCCAGAGTGCCACTGTCTGCCCAATCGCGCATCCCGATACCGCATCCGATTCGGATTCGAATTCGGATCCCAGCCTCTATGCTCATAAAAACTAATTAGTTGCTTGTCTCGTAGCCTCACTCTTGCCACTTGAACCCAACGATCTTTTTGGGTGGCAAAGCCTAGACGGCCATTAAAGTTAGATAGAACAAACCGTATCGGTTAATGTCTGACAACGGGGGAATGAAATGACTTTGTCACGAAGCTTTTAAGAAGTGTGTGGGCATTACCAGGCAACTTAACTAAATGAGAAGCGTATAGAAAGGCAGTAAACAGAAGCGATATAGTAAACTATCTTAAAGAACTAAGAACACCAAAGAAAAAATAAAAAAAAATATATGGTTAGTATTATCCTAGATCAAATGCCTTCTCCTCTTTAATATAATTTACTGGAATTGTAGGGTAAACACTAGTCCCCCAGGGTGCTTCCACAGAACCTCTTGAAGGCTGTCAGCTCGGAACACATTCCTTGACCGTGTCCCTGCACCTGCCAAGCGCCAACTCAGATGCCGTCAAATGTTCAGAATTCAGGATTCTCCTCACTCGCAGCCCAAAAATTCTCTACTTTAATTATGCGCAGGCGCGCCAAAGATATCGATCTTAACAAATCGTTTGGCCGAAAGCAACCAGTCAGTGGACTGTTGCCAAAAACAAAAAAAAAAAAACCGAAAATTGAAAATGAAATTCTAAACCACACAAATGTCGAAATATTTCGATGCTCTGTGGCCTAATGGAATTCAACAAAGCAAACAACAGAAAAGCCAAAAAGAAACAAATTAAATATAAGCAAACCAAAGCGCAGCAGAGTTCAATTAATTAATCATCCGGTAGAAACACAAAAATCATTGCCAAAAACAAGAACATGAAATCATGTTCACCATTCGACCGAGGACCCAAGACCGAGGACGAGAAGGCAAACATATTTTCAAGCTGGCGCCAAGATCCGTGACCACCTGCTGTGTCTGCGGCTGCTCTCTGAGGCCTGGGTCAGGCCCTGGGCCTTTCGCATCCTTGTTAGCACAAGGCAAACGATCCGTTTGGATATATAGAGAGGATAGAGGATCGGATCCCTACACCGGCTCTACCCCCCTCTACCCGACCGATCTCTATTTGGCCGGGGCTAATTACATGGCGCATGGAAGGGAAATCTCACAATTAAATATTTGTAACGCCCCTCGCTGGCATGGGCTCCTTTTGTCGATCCAGCATGACTATATTTGAGTTTGTTCGATAAACAAAGGCTCTTGGGTTTTTCCTGGATTTTCCTGCACTCTGCACTCCCCTCTTCCCTCTTCCATTCCGCGTAATCAAACAAACCAGAGTCCACAGAAAACTTTTATTTATTTAAGGCTGAAAGAATGACATTTGTTTGATGTTTTTTAAATGGACTTTTAAATGATTTTTGAATGAAATAAGTTTTAATATTTTAGTGAGATTTTGAGTGATTATACTATATATTTATTTATTTATTTTAGACGCATGTTTCCCTCGATGCGATTGAGCGTCTCTGGCTTGGAGGACGAAAGCAACTACTGTGTACTCCTCGAGATGGTCCCGATTGGCGACTGCCGCTACAAGTTCTCCGGCTCTCAGTGGGTTCCGGCTGGAGGTGCCGAGCCCCAGAGCCCCCAGCGCATGTATTTGCATCCGGATAGTCCGGCAACAGGTGCCCATTGGCAGGCGCAGCCCATTCTCTTCAACAAGGTGAAGCTCACCAATAACACATTGGACAACAGCGGGCATGTAAGTGCGGGCATTGAGCTTTGATGTGGTATCCGGTTACTTATCCGAATCCCAATCTTTTTCCCAAACCCCATCCAGATTGTCCTGGCCAGCATGCACAAGTATCAGCCGCGTCTGCATGTCATACGCACCGCTGATCTGGCGCAGATTCCCTGGGCCCCCCAACAGGCCTTTGTGTTCGCCGAGACCGAGTTTGTGGCTGTGACAGCATATCAGGTTGGTAATATTTAATACCCTAGAATTTATTAGTTCATAACTTTTTAGAAACATTACTAGCCTCGAAAAGATACTACATACTTTTTGGAATATAAGTTAGAAGGGTATCGAAAACGTGTCTTTTAGACTCTAACCTTGCTTCTTTTTTGCCAATTCATTGAGCACACTGGCCCAGGGACTAAAACCAATCACACTAATTGGTTAATTTTGGGCAAACGAGCGGCTATTGCTCACGCCATGGGTAGCTGGCCAACGTCTCGAATTAGCATGGAACGCCTCACCAAAGATCCCGAGACTCAAGATCCTCGTCTGAGCTGGACTCGGATGGGATGGGATGGGATGGGCAGGCAAAAGTCAGCGAGTCGGATTGTTGTTTTAGGAAGTTGGATAGCCACATCCTTGTAAATTTGAGAGCACCTCGCTGTGTTTTTGTCTAGGTCTGGCCCATTGACAGCCGACGCCAGTCTGCCTCTAATTAGCAAGATCGCCTCTCGGGAACCGAGATGAGAGATGCGATCACCGAGATGAGAGAGATCTCAAAGTTGTCAAGTCATGTCGAGTGGAACTGGAACCCGGTCTGGTGTCAAGTGGCCTTGTTACTTAACGCCAGCTACTGGACGCCAATGACTTATGCATCACACGGGAAAAAATATCTTTAAGATGGGACTTTCTTTACGAAACAAGGTCCTTTGAGGGCTAGGGTTAGGCTAAGGCTATAGAACTAAAAGTAAAATGTTTTAGTAAAATGTAACCCCTTTTTCTTGTAGTGTATCTATCAGACACACCCCTGGAATTCTGTTGCTTAAGATTATATAGGCAATCGTCATATTTCACGCTCTTATTTTTCCCTTCCGCAGAACGATCGCATCACCAAGCTGAAAATCGACAACAATCCGTTTGCGAAGGGCTTCCGCGAAACAGGACAATCGCGCTGCAAACGCAAGATGTCTTCATCGCCAACTGGCGAAGATCAAGATCAGTCCCAGACGCAGTCGCAGTCGCAATCCCAATCCGAGTCGGACATGTCGCCGGTGAAGAGCAGCGAGGTAGCAGCATCGACAACCACAACGACAACCGGATCCATTGACTTGGATGGCCCGCAAATTAAGCGACTGAGATCAAATGGCTCCGCCTGCTCCTTATCGTCATCGCTGGACGATCACTCGATGCCTGGCGCCAGTACCTTGGCCTCCCTGGGATCCCCGCCCTCGCATCCGCTCCACAACCGGGTATTCATGCAACAGTTCCAGCAGAATATGCAGAGCTTGCTCCGACCATCGCTGGTGGATCTGGCCTGTACTTACTTTGGACGAACCCACGAGTACGGTGGGGGTGTGCCAGCAGGGATTCCCTATCCCCCACCAGGAATGCTGCCAGTACATCCTGGCCTAGGACTGCCTCCAGGCATTTCCCCCGGAGAGCCTGTATCCGATGAGTCGGCAGCGGATGAACTGGAACTGGATGTGGGCAGTGAGACGGCCACAGTAGAGACTGTGGAGCCATCCTCCCAAGAACAGCCTCAGGAGCCAGCTCCCACATCCAGGAGCAAGGGCTTTAGTATATCAGCCATCTTAGGAGGAGGTAGTTAGGGATTCAGGATTATTGATTTAAGATTTAATTCTTTAACCATTATGTACTCATTTCGATATTAAACCAATCATAGCCTGATTAGTAAGTAAGTTTAAGTTTAATTTGAAGTTAAAGTGTGCTTTATTTCTCTAAGGATCTCCGGAAGATATTTTATATCCGCCTGCTGGGTTGAACCTTCAAAGCCTGTACGCCCACAGGAACCCTGAAGGTAAATGAATCTATTTTGGAAAACTAACAAACCGTCAGTTGCTGGCTGCTCTATCATTGGCCGATCTTGGCTGGAGGCTGGAAATCACAACTTCCGCTAGACATTAATCCCAACCAATTTACAAGATAAACGTTCGGGTTTCGACAACATCATCAGGGCACCACAGATCCATAGGATGCTGTATCCATTAGCCACACAGAGATGCGACTGGCTAGAACATAATTTGTTTGCAATTAAATAGCTCGACAAGGCATGAAATTCGGTTGCAGCCCTCAAAATGCTACCCCAGAGACCGATCCGATCCGATCCGATCCGACCAAGGAGACCTGCAAGACCCATGCAAGATATTTATGAAATGGGCAGAGACTGAGACGAAGCCAAAGAAAATAGACAATTCGTTATGTAAGTTGCGATGAAGAGCTGCTAGATCTTAGCCAGGGGCTGAACGGAGCCAATAATGAAGTTTACGATGACATGCGTCCCACCCACGTCTCGTCTGGTTTTTTGATGGTTAGATGCCTCGATGGTTGGAGGGTTGGAGAGGCGGTGCAGACACTGCTGCCCGCCCGCCCGGCCATTGGAAAAACAAACACGGTCAAATCAATTTACAATACAGAGAAAAAATATTTAAAATATTACTAATATTTTTTATTCATACTATATAAATTATTTTATAAGGTACAAGTCGTTGGACTAACATCTTACAGTTTTAATTTAAAAACTGTATATTTATTGTTAAAATATATCTTCTATTCTAATACCCTAGTATTTTTCTCTGTGTATCAAATCGATTTGTAATTGTTGCCGTTTGTCTAGCTGTCGGTTTTTATTCCTCTGGGGATCGGTATTGCTTCGGATCGGAAGGCCTGCGGTTTTATAGGGGATCCTAGGCCAGGCCAGAACGGGTGACAGATGTCGGCCGTGTGTGTGTTGACAAGCGCAAGGTTGTGAGTGCCTTGAATGCCTCATTAAATGGCCGTACACCCACCCTTTCTCCCCATCCCCATCCCCAGCCATCCCTGGCAGATGTCGCAGGTCTTTGGATAATTAATGCACTATGGCTGTTGCTTTTTACGCTGCCACATTTGTTGCCTTTTTTTGTTATGTTATGAAATTAGATACACTTTGTCGAGCAGCATTTCTGTTGTGTAAACACGAATTTTTGGGGTACCCGAAAAAAGGGGGAAAATTGTTTCCTAAACGAAAGTTAATTAGTTATTATAGGGAATGGAAAGGGGGGACTGCAACTGGTGGTGCTAATGGGTTGGAAAAGCATTTTACAAAGAGCACGCGTGGCTGCATCTAAAAAAAAAAGATAGAGGAGGTGGTACTATCAGGTGTATGAAATTGCTGAGAAATTCAAGATCGTATGAGATAGATAGACCTATCAAGGGCTTTGTATTTAATCTTAGAGGTCTTAAGCTTCAGTAGCGAAGCAAAGAGTAGAGAACTCCCAAAGTATCATCCTTTTTTCGATATCCTTGCGCCCGGCGTTAGGCCAACAAGATGGCAACAATGACCCGGTACTTGAGATTTTATTGTTGGCCATGCAAATATGTTGGTCGCGAGGAGAATGCAACAAAGCGTGGCAAAGAAAGGTTTCCGTGTCGCCGGAGCCAAGCCATAAAACGGATGCACCGACCCGTCCCAGGCCCTACACACACATCCTAAGCCGGGGTTTTAAACTAGAGCAGAACCATCCCGTCGCCGGCCAGACGCAGCCCCGTAAGCGGACAACAAAGGCTGTAAATGCAGTTTATGCAAATGGGCTCACATGTGGGCTAAAATATATATATACATACCTATATGTATGGTGGATGGACGAGTTTAGGAAGCGCGTCCCTTTTGGGCTGGTACAATTAACAAAGCGTGTAATTTCTCAAACCTATCGTGTGAACAATGGCACAAACAATTAGAGGATAATGAAAATCACCCACATAAGCAGGCCCACTATAGTACTCTCAGTATGGGATGGTGCATACACACATGATCATATAGGCAAATCTGGGGATCAGTTTCAAATATAATCACTGGCGAACAATCAAAACCGGAGCACAACGGCCGTCGTCAAGTACGCATCCTTTCAGCAGATGCCCTGGACAATGTTCTGGCATTGTTTTGCAAGTCTATTGAGTGCAAAATGGAGGGGCATTGTCTTGGGAAAACTATTTGCATACTCATGTCTTGTCTGGATAGACAAACCACAAAGTATAATAGCCATTTAAATTACAATACACCCTTTAAAGAGGAAGTTTTCAAATATAAAAGGAGGTAACCTTTTAGGAAATAAAGAGCACAAAAAGAAAAATATATATATACTATTTGATAAGGTATAGGTTAATTAGTCTTTTCTTTGTATAATATCAAAAAATTTATATTATTTAAAATCTAAAAAAAAATTAATTCACTTGTCCGCCATTTTTAAAAATTTTGAAAACAAAGCTTTTCCCGCAAAGAGATCGACAAGAGTCCGATAAGACATATCGGCAACGCCCCATAACTAACTTTTTAGATCGTTGCCAGCCCCAATCCAGAATTTGCGCCAAGATTAGCGTTTTCTTGAAAAAATAACTAAAATGGATGTGCTATCTAAGTCTTCTAACTCCGACAACGAGGAGAATGATTCCTTCCACTCTTTCAATTCGAGTGCCAAGTCTTGGGATAGTCTAAGTTCTTCCCTTAAATCCGACGATGGCTTCACTGACGTCGAGAACATGAAGGAGCATGAGACTTCGCAGGAAATTTTGGAGGATTCGGTGAGTACACATTTCAAAAAATACAATCAATAATTGTGTTTTATAGGCTTGTGATCCTGATACCTCGATTGAGATCCTTCAGCCCAAGGCTTTGAAAGCTTTTCCCAAGCCCCTACCAGATGATCAAGGCAGCGTGTCCACCGATGCTGACAACACCACTGTCCCCGAAGCGGTGTGTCCGACCATCAAGAAAGCCGTGCTCAAGCCCGTGTCCCCTTGGACTGTGCCAAAGATGTCGCAAGTGATGCCTAACCCTGCTATCTTTAATTTGGATAGTTCGGACCTCAAGGATCACATTGACTCGACATCGGATGAGAAGGAGAAGCAGCAGAAATTCGCCTTTACCGAGATTTGGGTGGACACACAGCAAATTCTCCCAAAGCCCAAGCAGTCGCCGCTGAAGGACTTCAACAATGCCCTGGAAGACTATTTCAATGAGGCTGAGCCTCTTAAAGTGGAGGATCTAGGCTGCAAGACTCCATCCAGGGCTTCTAGCGTAGATGATGTCTTTTATACACCTAAGGTTAGAATTTATTAGACCTTTCCGTTTCAGGAAATTATACTTTCGAGCTGTACACAGCATTATTTTTATCAATTCCACTGAAAAAGAAAACCGGAATGTGACGATTATCATTTTATAAATAATAACGATGCACACCTTATTTCTTTTCAGTCGACTGCACATGACGCTCCTACAGTGCCCCAGTTGGAGGAGGAATATGTTTCCCCACTCCCGCCGACAGTGCCAACCATTGCTGTAAAGTCTCCTCTATTAAAGGAAACCAAGAAGACTATCACCTTGCCAGCCGGCTACGATTTAAGCAACCTTGTCAAGTACAAAAATCCGAATCACTGGGCCATTCGTCCCCATGTTAAGACAGGAAAACATTATCCATATTAACTAAAATTTAGTTACTAAACCGTTCACAAATATGTATAATCATTCATTATATTATTTGCAGAAATAAAGGACTTAAAAGTTTAAACATAAATACCTACAAAGCAATTAGAGACCCAAACATATTCGAATGTCAAACTCTGGCAAAGACATAATATCGCCAACGTTGTGATGGGAATGGAAATAGGATTGGGATTTTGAATGGGAATGGGAATGGAGCCCCGACTCCAAATGATTTCATTGTACTGCCGATAAAATTGTCGCCAGCGAAAAATGTTGCCCGTGACTTTGATTTCGGCCGCGGCAACATTAATTTCCAAAGAAATTACACATGCCCGGCTCCGAGTAGAGAGCGTACCTTTTGCTTATCTCGGCTGGATGATCGGGTCTCCAGCCGTCTCTTCCCCATCATGGACATGGAGTCTCTACTTTGGCCCAGCGGATGCCCCCAAATGAGAATTCAATAAATTTCAGCAACAGCACAATGGACCCGACCCGACCGAACGTTGTCGTTAGTCGTTTTTGGCGACGTTTAACATGAATATGCAGTGTGGCTAATGTGGAGCCCATAAACACTTCCAGCGGCAACATGAATGGCCAGAAAACAGGTTGCAGCTACGTGTGTGGGTATTGGATATCGTTTTGGAGTTGGTCGGTCTTTTGGGGGATATTTGGGATCCTGGCTCCGGTTTAACAATTGTTTCTTAACGCGAAATGCCACCGGCGACGATCGCTTGTTTCGGCCAATCATCTAGCCGCAAAAACAGAGAGGCAACACTTGCCACTGGTGGACTGGTGCATCAAAGGTGCCGCCGCCTGTTCATTTCCGCTCGTGTAGAAGCTGAGATGTGTGATGGGACACTCGGACAATTGCATGTAAATGGCCACAGTTTTGCTAACAACTACAATGTGAAACATCAATTACATGGCTTTCTGGATTCAGATGGAAGTAGGAGTTGGAGTTGGAGTTGGAGCTGCAGTCGGACGCCGGATTGCTTGCCAGGATTGCCGGCGATCGTGGCGCTCAATCAGCGCATTTAACTTGGCGCCGGCGCCAGCGTTTAAGATGCGGCTTGCTCTGATCTGCTGATAAGCTCATGTTGCCGATGTTGCCTGCTCCGCTTTTGGGATGGCTATGGAAAGGGGGTGGCCAAGGAAACTGGTTTTCAGAGTCCCCAAGACCGAATTGTGTATCGGATAAATGGAGGTATGCAGCATGAATTTCTGCAAAGCAAGTATTTCTTAATGTTATTCTTTATTAAATAAATTTTAAGTAGTAAAGTATTTATTTTTCAGACAAATTTTATTGTTGAAAATTATAGAAACAAATAAAAATTAATGGAAAGACCTCTTTTGATAAGCTTTAGATTATTCTCAGCTTTTAAACCAAAAAGATTTTAATGTGTTATATTTTTCGAATTTTTTTAATCAAAAATTATTGAAAAATATATTAAAATAATTGTCATATTTTTAATATTTCCTTTTCCAGTTTTAAACCACATAAATCCAAGCTCTATTCTTTGAAAATTATGGGGAATCCAAAGTTTTCTGACCCGATAGCTGACACTTTCCCTTCGAATTTCTTCCCCAAAACCACTCAATAAAATACCAAGATTTAAAATTCAAAATTATACATAGATAGGTGTTTTATTTATGCCGCATTAAAATGCCAATGACAATAAATCCATTACGAAATCATGCGAACAATTAAAATTGCATAATAAATACGATAAATACTGATGGCAAATACCTGGAAATCCTAATTAACTGCAAAATATCACAATTCAACTTAGACACTACGCCGACGATGGCAACTAAACGCTAATTAAATGTACAAGGCACTGCGATATCCAGCCAGCCCAGCCAAATGGGAGCTCCAACTGGAACTGGAACTCAAACTGGATTGCGGCTAAACGGAGACGTTCTTCCCTAATATGTCCGAGATGCTGAAGCTGCTTCGTTTTGGCTTTGGTTCGGACGGTTCGCTGGGAGATGGAGCAGCAGGAACGGTGGTGGTAGTGGTGGTGGTGGTGGTGCTCACCACATCCACAAAGGTGTCCGCCTCGGGCTCCTCGCCGCTGAAGGAATCGGAGGAAGAGGACGGCGATGGCGGGGTGTAGGCCCAACTTGGATAGCCGACTGGGATGTGCCTGGCATACTCAATGGCAGCTGCCGGTTGAGGCAGTGGCGCTGGCAGATAGAAATTGGCCTCCAGAGTATCCAACAGATAGTGACGCTGCATAAGTCCATTTTGCGGATTCCGAGGCATCTCCTCCACGAGGCGCAACCGTTTCGCTAACGGGGACTCCACCTGGCTAACCTCCGTCTGGGATGATGACGAGGACGGGGGCGGCGAATCATTGAGCTTCCTTTTGCATCTCGACTGACCCGACTCACGGAAACCCTTGGCAAAGGGATTGTTGTCGATCTTCAGCTTGGTGATGCGGTCATTCTGCAGGGCAAAACAAACAGTATACAGATTAGATATCAGATCACACATTGTCTAAGATATATGAACCCACCTGATAAGCCGTAACAGCTATAAACTCGGTCTCCGGGAAGACAAAGGCCTGCTGGGGAGCCCAGGGAATCTGGCCGAGATCAGAGGTGCGTATGACATGCAGACGCGGCTGATACTTGTGCATGCTGGCCAGGACAATCTAAAAACCAGAGGAGAACCTAAGATAAGTCTCTGTCTGATAGCCCCACTTGAGTAACTACTTACATGGCCATTATTGTCCAGGGTGTTGTTCGTCAGTTTCACTTTGCTGAAGAGCAGGGCCTGGGACTGCCAGTGCTTTCCGGTGGCCGGACTTTCAGGATGCAGGTACATGCGCTGGGGACTCTGGGGCTCGGCACCTCCGGCCGGAACCCACTGTGATCCGGAGAACTTGTAGCGGCAGTCGCCGATCGGCACCATCTCGAGGAGCACACAGTAGCTGGCCTCCTCTTCCAGGCCACTTAGAGAGACACGCATGGAGGGAAACATTCTCCTGGAATGGACAAACCACCAAAAAAGCTATTAGTGACACGTTTCGACCGTAAGACACTGTCTACACCCGCTAGCCAAAGAGGGCTTATCAGCAGGAGATAAGCAGATGGGGGCGAGCAAATAGTCACTCAAAGTGGTAAACGATGATACCAACCTGCCACTCTTGGTGATGATCATCTCCGTGCCGATGCTGTGGAACTGCTGCCACAGTTCGTTGTTCTCCAACTTGGCCTCGACATCTCCGGGCAGGGTGGGCTGAGGCGGGGGCGGTGGTGGTGGAGCTACAAAGTGTCCGGCGTAGCTGGGCAACAAGCCGCAAAGTGGATCTACGGAAAATTTTAAATCATTAGCCGTCGGCAAAAGTAATTGGTTGTAGTTCTAAGTTTATATATGATTTTCAAAAGCTTTAATTTTTGTTTTATAAATTTTAATCTTTTTAATATTTTATTTTTAAGATATATATTTTTTTTTTTTAATATTTTTTAGAATTCCTTAATCTTACCCGGCAAACGTTGCATAATCTGCTGGCGATATATCTCATGGGCGATCTGCTGCTGCAGTCTTAAATCGGCAATGTTGGGCAAGGTCAACATTTTGTGTTTTTCTGGGTCACTATATCTTTTATTTACTGTAGTTACTTTATTTTTCTTTTTTTTAAAATCGTTTTTAAATCGATCGATCTACGTCTTAGGTTGGAACTAAAACGATCTGCTCGGTTCGCTGTCCAGATTGAGACTGCCTTCCTCGGATTCGGAGCTGACACTACTTCGATTCTGCCAGAATCCGGTCGGATCGGTTTCTCTCTCCGGCGATCCTCAAGTCAGGTAGTTGCTCGACCTGTTCTCGTGCCCGAGCCTCGAGTGGTTTCTCACTCACCCGCTAGCTCGCTCTCGTTTCCACCACCTCGCCACCGATATGGCTCTTCCATTGGCTGCTTATCTGCCAGCTCATCGCCATCTCACTCTGGCGCGATGGAACGCCATTTTCCGCTTTGGAAGGGGGCCTCCCAGCACCCGTACCTCGTACCTCCGCCCATGGAACTGGGGGGCACGGCACCCATCTTGCGGCTGATAGTGTTTAATGGTTATGGTTATGGGGCTGGCCAGGGTATGGGGACTCTTCAGTGGGCTAGGGCTCTTTGAAGTAGCCTAATCGCCAGTCATATTTATGGAATAGAAAAGCGTTTTGGATATCAGCCAACTAATAATGCTTAGCGAGATTGGGGACTTTTCCAAAAAAAAAAAAGCAGAAGCCGTCATTTTCTGAGCATGAGGTTTACGAGATTCGAGAAAAATTTAAATAGGAAAGTGCCTCCGGAATAGAAAATAGAAGAAACTAAATGGTATATTTTTGGATTTTAAATTAATAGGAAGGTTTAATATTTAAGTTTTTTAAGTTTTAAATCTAAATGGCGTTATAAATAAAGTGTAAATATTTAGCAGAAGTTTTAAAACCGAAAACATTCTCAAGATAAGTATAATACTTATATAGAGATCTCTTCATACATATATCTTTAATGGCTTATCTTTATTTTAAATCTTTCGAATTAAGAACAATCATATTTTTAACAAAATTCTTTCTCTTCCTTAAAATAATAAACATCATTTCTACGTTATCTGAACTACAAAATTATCCTTTGGATCAGCTACCTCTCAGAGAATCCACTTGATTGTCAAACCTTTGATATCTACAGGATGCATATCTTCAGGATACATGTTTGTATCTTTCTATAAAGAGACTCCGAAAGCGGCTCCCATCTGTTGCAAGTTGCAACCGTTTAACTTATCAAAAATCTACCCGTTACAAGCTGCATCTTGTAGATTCTACAAACGAAATCTCACCGCTACCGTTTCTCGAAGAGAAGGTCGTCCAAAGAGATCCGCCCCGCGATAAGTCGGGCTAATCAAACCTTTAAACGGTACTTGATGCTCTTGGGCCACAACAAATTGCGGCAGCCGGGAGCGGCCATCAAATCATGCTGGCGCCAAGAGACTGTCGCCTGGCGACCACTTGAAACTCGCCGTATGGTATGAGGTGGTCCGGGGTCTAGTAACTGGGATCTGTCTAACGGATCAGTCACTTGCTGCTGTTGCCACTTGTCGTGATACTCTGGGGTGCCAGGACGTCGGCAAAAACTCACAGGCGAGTCATAAAAATCATCACACTTCGTCCCCGAGATGCTGATGCGGTGCCTCCTCATCTTTTTTGGGAACAATGCCGAGCCTCGGGGATGCGAGTTTTATGGCCTGACGGTGAGACGACCGCCGACTGTTTTTGTCGTCTCTCTGCAGTTTATTTTTTGAAATTATTGTTATGATTATTGCCTGTTTGTGGGTCTGTTCAACAATTTGTTTGCCATTGTCCTGATATTTAAAGGTTGGCGACCAAAGCGGGCCGACAAAACCGCAAAAGGACATCACTCCAGTGGGGGCCTTAAAACGAGAACTGGAACGGAACTGGTCCGAACTAATTATGATCAGGGTTTAGATAAGGAGTATATATAAAATTTAGAGATGCAGATCGAATGTACATATGTTCTGTCAGATCTTTATCTGCTTATCCGAAGGATATCCTAAGGTTAGAAGGGTTTTTTGACCTAAAAATCTGATTATTATAATTTAAGTTATTTTTTAAATATGTTTCCGGAATTAGGTAACCAAGTAATCTAAGGTATGTCCTGGATAGTGAATAGATATTGACCTCTACCTTTAAAAAGAGACATTTTGTGACTCAGTCAGGACTAAACCCTTCTCGAGTTTCCAGGACACGTCTGCGGTCATTAGGCAGTCGATATGCAATTTCCGGCAAATCGTAATACGACTAGCTTTGCATAAATCGCCTGGAATACTTATGCATTTCCGCTTATGGCGGACGGGCCGAGGACTAAGTGCCCCTGACCCGAAACCGAGTGTGACTCAGGCAATTAGCGGAGGTTGGGTCGGGTCGGGAGAGTGAGGAAATATCATAAGTCCGTGTCCAGACGGATTTGTGTCATTAGTGGTCGTCGCGCTGCTCTTTCGCCACTCGTGTCCCGAGACGTCATATCCTCAGTTTTCATTCAGTTTTCGGTTTGGAAAAACCCGGGAAATTTTTCGAGCAGCTCTCGCTAATTGATTGTTTGTTATCTTTGGAAACGCGCTTATGGCTACCTTACGCAAGAGAAATCAGATAAATAGGATTACATTTTGCACATGAATCAGACACATATATTTATTGTTGCTGTTTTACTTTTAAATAACTTTTAAATTACACAGTACTATGTGATGATTCTGAATATGTATTATATGCCAAGCCACACAATGTACAGTATTATCTAGATACATAATATATTTTTTCTTTTTTTACCAAAATGGATTGTTCGTTCTAGTTTTCGTAATTCAGCTTAGTATTGGTTGTGTACTCTTCGTTAGTATTTATTATAGTTTTATCACAGCTATACGTTTATATTTATTTGTTAATAATTGTGTTGAAGATTATTTAAATACTCTGATGTTCTCCATTACGAGAAGCGACCACAAATTAAAATACACCAATGCCTCAAAAAAAGGAATAAACATACAAAGTGTGCGGGATAATGGCGATCCTTAGGATAGTTCGAAACCAGTATTGCTGCTAACGGCATAGCGGAGTTTGTCCCTCAGCGTCGACTTCTTCTGGTAGTTGGGCAGCTTCAGAAGGTTGAAGCACGTGGAGGACGTGGGCAGGCGGTTGAGCGGATCCTTTTTACGAATGGTGAAAAAGCCTCGAATCACGCTGCCGATGGTGTCCCCAGTGTCCTCGTCGTCGCCCACCTCTACACAGCGAATGGAAAAAGGCGGCTCCAGATGGGCGAAACCCAAAAGCGGTGGCTTCGAGCAACTGGTAACAAACTGAAAGAAAAAGTATACTTCAAAAATTGGAAAACTAAAAAAAATATTTAAAAATTCAACCTTTAAGAAAAGTTTGCGCTCCTCTTCTGTGAAATCCTTAGCCAGGATGTCCCACAGCCAGCCCACCACGCGATGGGAATCATGGAAGCCTCCATAATATTGCGTGTGTTTCCGCAAATCTTTTAGATCCAATGGCACTGTGTCGCCTGATATGAGACGCTGGAGCTCCGGAGGAGAAAACAGAGACAACCACTCCGGATTGACGATGCTGCGGAAACCACGATTAAAGGCTATCGTCTGCTCGCGAATTTGAGTATTCATGTGGAAAAAGGCCATGTAGTGGATGTAGACCAGCTTGTTGTGGTCATTCACGACCCTGGCCTTCCCCCCCGGATGCAGTTCGTGCGTTACTATCCTGCCCATAACATCCTGATCGACGGAAAGTGTCAGATTCAAATCGGCCACATCCTGTTTATAGTGTTTGATAAAAGTGAGACTGCGGTACAGCTCATTGTCCAGCGAAGGCAGCTCATCCATGCAGGAGTAGGGAGCCTGTTGCGTCTGCCCCAGTAGCTGGGAGAGGAAAAACGAGGCGAATGGCACATCCACAACGATTCCCTCATAGACAGCCTTCCCCAGCATACGGCCAACGAACTCAAAGAGCTCCTTATGATTGTCCTGAACGTAGGAAATGGGCGACGGATATAGCCTTTGATCCGAGGTGGTTTTGAACAAATTCAGCGACGGATCGAATACTTTCTTGATGGTCTCCTCCAGGAATTCCTTAAATACACCGTCTTGATCGATTCCAGCCTCGTGCAGTCCTTGTTGATTGATAAACCTCACCCGGATGACACCTTTAAGGGCTTGCGTGGGCTGGGCAGCCAACTGCCGGTAGCCGTCCTCCACAATCCGCTCTCGATGGATCACAATTAGAGCAGATCGGGGCGAGGCGCAAGCACTCTCCGTTAGGCCCATAACTGCCTTCTCATTTTGCACGAATTTCCTGAAAAGTTTCACCCGATCCTCGTGGGGAATAATGTGCGGCATCTTGGCCAGCAGCAGCAGAGCGTTTCTCTTTGCTTTTTCCAAGTCATTGATGAAGGTTGAAGGCTTAACCTCGGGTATGAGCCAGTGGTTGGGAGGAGTAAACGGTCGTCGGCAATCACGGCGATACAAACAGAGTAGCAAGGTGTGCAAGGACAAGAATACCGGGTTCTGAACAATATTCTTGGCTCCTAATATTTAAAGATAGAATTTTTATAATTAATAACTTTCTATTAGAGTTTTCTTACAAGACTCACCTAAAATATTGTCGTTTATAAGTTTGTAGAGAATATTGTTAAGGAAATACGTTAGCATAACGTAGTCGTTAAGCTTGAAAGGCTTCTGCTCCGTGTACATTTCATACTCATCTAAAATACTAAACAAAACATTTCAAAAATGAATAAATCAAGAATATCTGAAAGACCTACGTAACGTAGTGTGTCATACAGTCGCAGAAGAGCATCAACATGGCAGTCTGTGGCTTCTGTAAGTTTTCTTCGGATTTGAACAACTCCAAATACTCTTTCATGCCACAGTTAGGACCCAACGAAGTGATCAGCAGCCAAATATCATACAGTACGTTGTCGTTGTAGCAGATTCCGGAAAGGATATAGAGCTTCATCTGGGAGAGAGTACTTTGGGCAGCATAGTACATAGCACAAATGCGAGACACCTGCAGTACATCTTTGTTGTCCAGTCTGCGCCACTGCTGCTTGCTTTGTTTGCCACCTGCTCCACCTCCTCCCATTAGGTTTACTCCCCTCGTAGAACTACGCTCCAAGGCGCGGCGCAGCAGGTTGGAGGTGGATGGCTGTTGGGGTGACTGGAACTCTATCCGTTCGTAGTTCTTATTGATCTCTTTTAGGAGGTCGCCCAGCAGGAGCTTAATACAGCGATGGTCCCACAGCATGTGAAACTGTTTCTTGATCAGAGAAACGTTCTGATTCTGTGCAGGCTCTGACCCTGGAGTATGCCAACCCAACAGCTCGTGCCACTGGGTGAACACTCCTTTTGTGGTCACCGTGTTGGGTATAAGCCTCAGTAACCATGTGGTGGTTTTCTATTGGATACAATGTTTTAAAATAAAAGTTTATAGTGGAATAGTGCATGTATTACTTACCGTCAGCATGGGATAAGCCAGGGTCTTGGCCTCCTCTTGTGCTTCAATATTAAAAAGATTAACTATGTTTCCAAGAAATGCCAGGGATTTGGTTCCCGGCATGCTGGCACCGAACTCTTCGAACCACTGCAGATCCTCCGAGATACTTAAAGCTTTCCTTAACAAGCCCAAAGCCGAAAACTGTTCCAGGCACTGGGGAACACTCTGGTGGAGATGGTAGATCAACGCGGGCACCGAGAGGATCTCCGTTAAAAATTTGGTCAAAAGGTTACGGCTGTAGTCACTGTCTATCAGTGGACGCAGGCATAGTGTTATGATGGCTACCAGGGTGACTGGTTTTACAGATAGTTCCTCACGAGCCGTTCCACGAAGTAAAACGAGCTAAAATATGTACAAATATTAGTATTAGGTATATTTTTAGATTTGAAGCTTACCCTCATGGTCTTGTAAAAATCATGTTGCACCAAATGCCCTTGAATATTGCAACAAACTTTCTGCATGGCTGGCTGCAGGCGCTCGAATTGGCTGTTTCGCAAGATGGCCCATGACTTGGGGGCAGTGAAGACCACCAATGTGTGCAAAAAGAGAGCCAAGGACAAGCTGTCCGCATGGTTCTCTGGCTTTAGTTCTGGCAGCAATTTTAGGCAGTTGGTTAGCAGTAGTTTGATGTGTGCAATCCAAGGCAGACCACGCTCCTTGTGCAGACAGAGAGCTGCGTAGGACAGCTTCGGGTTCTCTGCCTCCATGGCCTTGATAACATAGCGACAGATTCGCTCTAGGCGCTCCCGAGCCTGTGGATCGCTCTTGTCCAATTTGATTTGAGTAAGATAGCGCCGAAGCACAGGATACACATTTATAGCAAGCAGCTCCAGCTCCACATCCTTCTCGTCCTGCCCTTCGCTAGGAAAAATGGCATCGAAATCACGGCTGGAAAAGAGTAAAGCATCCAATAAGTAAATATTTTACAGGGAAACCCCGAACACCTACATGATCCTCTTGTGGTACTGCCTTCGCGCTGCGTATCCTTTCAAAGTGGACTGCAAGAGGATCGCCGCCAGCTCCCTACGCTTCTCCAGCGCCCGCTCCTCCCGCGCCGCCTTTGTTTGCTCCAGGAAACTACTCTTTTGGGTTTGGGCGAACATTATTTTTCAGCTGTAGACACAATGCAGCAACTTGTGTTGTTGTTGTTTTAGTTTGTTTTCGTTGGGACTGTTGCTGAGCGGGCGTGTGCCCTCAATTATCATAGCTGGCAGAGTGTACAGAAACACTCGTTACAGCCGGGCTTACGCTGGATATTCGCATCGTAATATAAGCAAATTAAAGGCCCAATTTTCCAATAAAAATTTTCATTTTCCAACTGCAGCAGCTCCAAAAACACCCTAACGCCTTCAAAAGCGGTCCTACAGCAAAACCTATCGATAGTTTACGCGATAGCTGCAACAGCTGGGCCACCAATAGCTGTGACGCGCTCTAGAAACTAGCCAAACCGTTGGTAACACTGCAAACGCGTTTCGCGTGAATTATTAATTTAAACTTATTTTCTGAGAATATGGAATAGCTGGGGAAAGTAAAAAATATGTCCATCAGCAGAGCCAAAGTCGCGCGCTTGTGAATAACACGTTGGGCCATCGCGACGGAAATGTGTGGCTGAAATAGCGATGTAATTATGATTTTGCAAAAACAACAAGCCCCAAAGTGCTAATAAAAATACCAACACACACACACACACGGGCAAGCAAAAGCCAATGTGAAAATTGTAAATTAATAAATGCGCGGCGGTCTGATAGCATATCGAATTAGCAAAATATGCTCGAATTTCGTGCCAGCGAGCGATCAAAACTGTGTGTGAATTGCAACAGAAAATAATTTCAAGGTTTGCAGCAGGCGAACAGAAGGCGAAAAGGTAATTGAAAAATAGAACGATTTTGGCACAAGCGCACTGCCAAAGCGAAATTCGTAGCCATAGCTATATATTTTTGTTGTCTGCGTGGGGCGTGTGATTTTGGGGGCCAAACTGCCACTGTTTGTGTATTGGTGAGGGGGAAAACAACAAACCCAAACCCCCGCCCTCCACCTCCTTCTCTTCCGCCACCCGACCTGAACATTTTCTATGAACAGCAGCCATAAGAAAGTGAGTGTAAATGAAAACAATTGTGCAAAGAGGATAGGAAGCAGAGCAGAGCTACAGTACCGAGCTACGTACGGTTGCCCTGTAATGTTCTCTCTCATGTAATTTACCGCAATTTCGCCTGTGCATTGCCTCATGCAATTTCTGCCCCTGCTTGGCACACATGCACACGCACACGCATGCATGCAGCAAGGCGCAGGCAAAGAAAGCAAGGTCTCTTTGGGTTACTCTCTACCCCCACCCCCTCTTCCGTTTTGTGTGACAGCATCATCAGCAGAAAAAAAAGGCGCGCTCCCGTTTCCTTTTCCTTGCCCGTTTCGCTCAGGCTCTCCCCGCCCCGTCCCGCTTCGCCTTCGTAGAGCTGAGCTGAGCAGCTCCACCATTTTCTTTCTAAACGCCACACTGCGCGCTGGGCTGCTGACGCCAGCCCCAATCATTCGCCATCATTCTCTCCTCCGCGGAGCTCCCCACTGCAGCAGTTCGGTCGGTCGCTCGTCTCCCAGTTGCAGTTCTCCTCCTCATCTTTGCTTATTTAATAAAAACAAGAATTGTTTCGTGCTCGGTCTGCGGCGGCGGTCCAACTACAGATAATCAAAATTATATTGTGCATGCAAAATATCACAAAAAAAAAAAAACAAATAAAGTAAATAAAGAATGCCAAACCATAGCACTCGCGATCGCGGCTGCTGAAAGAGCAAAAAATTATACACGAAAACAACTCGACGCGCCGCCTTATTGTGTGAGTTTCCAGTTCCAGGCAACGTTTATTGAACTTTTTACGGAATTTTTGGGGGGGCCAGCCGGCTAGAAAACAGTTAACAGCCGACGCATAACCTCAAAGGTTGGGGGGCGCCCAGGGACATGCACAAGTACCGTTAGATCGGGGCGCGCCAACCGAAAGTGCTAGACGCTCGATCATTTCCCCCCTCCTGAACTTAATGTGAAAAAACTATAGTAAAAAAAGTAAATGTGAAATTGTATAAAAAAAATAAAGTAAACATCGGTAAATTCCACAGTAGCAGTAGCGTTTTAAGTGCAGTAATTGAGGCCCGTTATGTTTTAGTCTCTGGTTCCCCCCTCTGGTTTAAAGTATAACAGTAGAAACAAGGCAAAAAAAAAAAAAACGATCGAAGAAAGTCACCAGAGAAAGAAAGTGCAAAGAATCGAATGGGTTGCTACCCTGTAGTTCTTAGGGTAACCATCTTTCTTTTTTAGAGAGTGGATTGATTATCCGTTATTTTTAATTAGTGATGAGCTTGAAAGTCGGATAGAGCCAACCCTGTGCTTTCTAGAAGGTAATCCGTTATTTGGCATTAGTGATGAGCTTTGGAAATTCTAAGAAAATATTACTTCAGAGTCGGATAGAGCCCACCCTGTACTTTCTAGAAGGGTATGCAAGCCAACGGCAAGCCAAGAAATAAGATTCGAAATGGGCACACAAAAGCAATAATGACAACGAAACTAAATGAAAACTGCCAACTGCAAAAAACCTAACCCAACTTCTGGTCCGACCCTAACCAATAATCCCCACCACCATATCCCCCAAACCCACCTTCCGCTTTTACTGAAAATCCAAAGTCGAATTATAACCATTCTGTATTTAAAATGTTTATTTTATTGATTTATCGTCGCTCGTCACTTGCGCAAAATCAAATCGAAATCAACATAGGAAGGTGTTATATATTTTGTTATTTATTTGCTTTCCTGATAAGCCGCCCGCCCTCTTAGACTCCCCTCCCGATCAGTGGACCGTGCAAATGCTAATTTTCATTCGTCAATTGCTGGCTATGGTCGTTGTTGTTGCTTGTAAATTGAACAAATTAGCGAAAACTGATTTGATTAAATTTCGAACGATATTTGCGGCTGCCACAGACTAAAGTTGATATTCTATTATCACATACCGTAGCCGACCCAGCAGTAATCCCGGGAAGCAATGGTGACAAATTTCTGGGCAAGACGATCACGTGGATGGGATTGTTTACTCGTGGATGAATACCCTATTTGACCATGGAACCTTTCTATTTTTCATTGCAGGAAACGCAACCAAATAAACACAAAGAAGCCGTAACAACTAAAAAATAGCTTACATTTTAAATAAAAAAAATCAGAAAACTAACAACGAGATGAAGTACCCAACTGGAACTACTGAGAACCCGATGTCTGCCGGCATCACTAACAGTGCATCCATCGAGATGCAGCCAAACACAACCACATCCACGCCCAAACCGGAGCGCACAGCCACCACACCCCCAGCCTCAGCCCCAGCCCTAGCCACAACGACGACGGATAACAATCCGAATCCCCAGAACGCAAGCCAGGCGTCCAATGCACTGTTCTGCGAGCAGGTGACCACAGTTACCAATCTCTTTGAGAAATGGAACGACTGCGAACGGACAGTTGTAATGTATGCACTGCTGAAGCGGCTGCGCTATCCGAGCCTCAAGTTCCTCCAGTATTCGATCGACAGCACCTTGACCCAGAGCCTGGGCACCTCACAGACGAATCTGAGCAGCGTTGTCATCGACATCAATGCCAACAATCCGGTGTACCTGCAGAATCTGCTCAACGCGTACAAGACCTTCCAGCCGTGCGACCTGCTGGACGCCATGTCCTCCTCTTCCTCGGACAAGGACTCAATGCCCTGCTACGGTAGCGACTTCCAGATCACCACCTCGGCCCAGTGCGACGAGCGCAAGCTGTACGCCCGCAAGGAGGACATCCTCAACGAAGTGCTGAACATGCTGCCGCTCCTGAAGCCCGGAAACGAGGAGGCGAAGGTCATCTACCTGACACTGATACCGGTGGCCGTCAAGGACACCATGCAACAGATCGTCCCCACAGAGCTGGTGCAGCAAATCTTCTCCTATCTGCTGATCCATCCAGCGATCTCTAGCGAGGATCGGCGGTCCCTGAACATCTGGCTGCGTCACTTGGAGGATCACATCCAAGCAGCGGCGGCGGGCTTGACGAACCGCAGCTACTTCCTGCAGCCCTCGCCGCAACTGGTGGTCGGTGGCAGCTCCACCGGGAGCGGCAGTTGCTCCTCCTCCTCGGCGACCAGCTCCTCGACGGCCTCGTGCTCGTCGGTGACCTCGGGCAGCCGTTCCTCGCGCACCAACGACTGGCAGACCATCGCGCCGCCCAGCAAACATCTGCAGCACAAGCTGTCGGATTGGAGGGGCTCGGGCTCCGGCTCCAGCGGTTCCATCAATCCACTCTGTGATAATTTAAATGGTATTACCCGGAACGAATTAGCTTCTAGTCAGACCCAGAACAGCCTCGGCCTCACCCTGGACAGCAGCTCCTCGCTGGTGAACGGCGTGGTGGCTGGCGCGGCGGCGGGCTCCATGCTGGGCATCACGGGAGGCAACAGTGGCGACGACCACGACACATCATTCAGCAAGAATGGCACGGAAATACTCGACTTTGATCCCACGACAGCCGACGTTGGCGAAGCCTGCAGCCTGGCCAGCAGCACCAATCTCTGCGGAGCTCCCGACACCAATCCTCAGCAGCATCTGCTGCAACCGCCGCCGTATGCATCGATTCTGATGGGCGATCAGTTCGGGGACATCAACCGGTGGAGCCTGGACAGCAAGATCGCTGCCCTGAAGACGCGCCGCTCCAACAGCCTGACCACCCAAACGATCTCCAGCTGCTCCAGTTCGTCCAACTCCTCGGTGATCACGGTCAACGACAACTGCTCCAATTCCACCGAGAACCTGGCCCAGTTCGCCAACAAGCCGAGGAGCTTCTCGCTGTCCATTGAGCACCAGCGCGGTGTCCTGGCCAACAGCGGCTCCGACACCCGGTTGGACGAGTTCAAGCCGAACTACATCCGCTTCCACACCCGGAACGTTGGCATGTCGGGCATCGGCCTCTGGCTGAAGTCGCTGCGCCTCCACAAGTACATCGAGCTGTTCAAGAACATGACCTACGAGGAGATGCTGCTGATCACCGAGGACTTCCTGCAAAGTGTCGGCGTGACGAAGGGCGCATCCCACAAGCTGGCTCTCTGCATCGAAAAGCTGAAGGAGCGGGCCAACATCCTGAAGCGCGTCGAACAGGAGCTAGTCACAGGTCAGATGAAGCTCAGCACTGCCGTCGAGGAGCTAACGAACATTGTGCTGACCCCGATGAAGCCGCTGGATGCCCTGGGGCCGCCGGAGGAGAACATTGGTCTGCGATTCCTTAAGGTGATTGACATCGTTAGCAATACCCTGCAGCAGGATCCCTACGCCGCGCAGGACGACGAGACCCTTGGCGTTTTTATGTGGATACTGGACCGGTCCATCCACAACGAGGCGTTCATGAACCATGCCAACCAGCTGAAGGAGCTCAAGTTCAAGCTGTCCAAGCTGAAGAGTTCGATGCCGAAGCTGCATCATGTGAAGGCCGCCGGCGCGGGAGTCAATGGCGGCAACATCAACAAACCAAGGTACGTTTTTGGACTTCAATCCCCTACAATTGTCAATTATGATATCGTTTCCGACAGATGGAATGGCAAGACGCGCAAGTGTGACACGAAGAACGGCAGCAACGACCGGATCAATAACCGGAAGAACTCCAACGACATGCTGAACTTCTCGCTGAACTGCCTGCAGCATCCCCAGCTGCCGCATCATCCGCAGCAGGGACCGCCGCCTCCTCTGCCCTTGGCCCAGTTCGACTACAACGGCTACAACAGCGGGCCATCGCACCAGCCGCAGTACAAGAGCTCCTCGTACCCCAGCTTCATGGGCAATCCCCAGCAACAGCAGCAGCCACAACAGCCGCCCAAGTCCTCCCATCACCATGGCCAGCAGCAGCAGATGCAGCAAATGTTGCAGCAACACAACCACTTCCCGGCATTGCCGCAGCAGACTCCACCCCAGGCACAGCCGCACCGTCGATCGCTGAACAACCTCATCCTGGTGGCCGGCGGACCTCAGCAGCCGCAGCAGCTCATCTTCAAGCCCGGCCAGGGAGTCCTAACAAACAATGGATCGAACGATAACCTCCTGAATCAGCCCCAGGCCAGGAAACTCAGCGGTGGAGTGACCAGCTCCGAGCAGCAACCAAAGAAGACCATGGCTGCCGTGGTGATGGTTAGTAGTAATCCCAGCCAGAGTCAGGAGCAGCACGACCAGGGAGCCATCCTGATCGGCAGCAACAACAACAATAACAACAGCATGCTTAACAACAACCTGATTAACCAGCAGCAGCTGCAGTTGCTGGCGGCAGCTGTTGCCTCGTGTCCCAGTACCAGTGTAGGTGGTGGTGGTGGTATAGTCGGTGGCTTAACCGGTGGCGCCTGTGGCCACAATCTGTGTCACCAGAGCAGCACGAACAACAACCATGCCGTCGACCATTGCCTCGGCATGATGAACGACTTCAAGAGTCTGGAACAGCTGGAGACGCTGTGCCGTCAGATGACGGAGCAGGCAATGAACTGAGCCATGTCGTCGTGGGGGACGTGGATCGGCCAGAAGTTTTTTGTGTTCACGTAACTCTGAATCGTGTTTTGACTTTGTTCTGATAAGCGATCATCATGAATGTTTTTTTTATAAAATAGCTCCATAAGATCCATCATCTATGTCCTTTGGAATCGTAATCGTATCGTTTTTAGTTTTTAAGCAAATAGTTTGTTTTAAATGTTAAGTTTTTTAAAAGTGAATGTGCCAAGACGTTCCCAAAGGCCTCGGATAGCCCAACGGCTGGCCGTTGGACTTGATGAGCCCGACAGGTGGCGTGGCATCTTGCTGTCAATGTTATTAATATGTGTATTTAGTGTATGATCTATGTATGGATAGGTTTCGTAAATGTTGTCGCCATGTCTATATAGTTGAATTAACACGCCAAGCAAACAAACAAAGAAAACCCACTACAACCACTACAGTAACTTCTCTCTATGTAGGAAAATTTGGCCAAATTCGATCAACACTTTACGCTATTCTAATTCTAATCATAAACACCATACACACCATACCATCATCTATCAGGAGCGACGACGACGGAAAAGGTTTATCTAGTAACAAATTAGAAATGAACTCTGCATCGTGACCATGAGACTGACTAAGATTACTTTTCGCAACTATAACAAAAAAAAAAAAATAAAAGAAACTAGAAAGCTGGTTGGAGGAGCCGGAGAATTGAGAAAGTAATGGAGAGAAGAATTGTTTGCGCCGAATCAAAAAAAATTTGCTTGCTGAACGAAGAAGTAGTAGAAAAGTCACATAATGGATATGTTTATATTATACACCGTACACACATAATTTATTTAAAATTAGAAGGAACATAATTGCTGAACCGAAACTACACACCAGAAACAACAACTACCACTAGACTAAAAACTTAAAACATAAAAGAGTTTCAATGTTTCACTGTTTGTTGTGTTGGAGAATCGGACGAACGAACACATTATTGTATCTTGTATAAGTAAGCATATAAGCCAAAACCCGATGTACGTGTGTTGTATCCTGAAGGATATACCTATAACTCTGACCGATGATCATAATCACTATTATTAGAATATCAACTATTTAATATTATGTTTTCGCTTTAGTCAATTGTTTATGATGTAAAATGGCAAGCCAATCACTCGATTATGTTATTATTTGATTGTTTTTAAACAAAAAACTTAAAAAAAAAAAAAAATTATGAAAAAATATATATAATATATATATATATATATTTATATAAACGAATGAATGTTAAGCTTAAGTTCAAAAGAAACGACGACGGCAAAGCTGGAAAAAAAATAAAGGAGAAGGCAGCCAAAAAATTATTACCATAAGAACGTCAAAATGTGTAGCTTAATTTAAATGTAAAAAAAACATAAAAACATAAAAACAAATCGAACAAAAACTGCATGTGTAAATCTTGCTTAAAAAATGTTTTGTTTCTTTAAAAAAATCAACTCTGTTAATAATCGCAAAATTGTAAATTGCTAATGCTTTTATTTATGAATAAACAACCTATTGTACGGCCAGTTGGGATAAAGATATAGTCCTATATAGTTGAGAATGTTTTCAGGCGAGACCCGAACGTGTACCTTCCCTCCCCCCCCCCCACACACACTACACTTATTTATTTTCAATAAATTATTTCGAGAAAATACCCCAATGCCAGTGTTTGCCTAACAACTCAGGTTGCCATGCGTCTCCGGTCTTGTTGTCCGGCGTATAACAACCCGCCAGACCGAACGTAGCTCCCCAACACGGCACACACGAAATTGCCCAAGGAGAATCTACTCCATTCCGATCCAAAAATTCCCTAGATTTACAGAATGAGCCGACATCGCTTCAACAATGTTCAGATCAAGGCCCTGCCCGGGGACCTCAGAGCTCAAACGGAGCTGGAAGCGGGTGGCGAGCCATCCGGGTCGAAGAATCTACCAATGTGGCCCAGCGAGAGGATTGCCCCAGGCGGGGCAGGAGCCTTTCACACCGCCAAGGTGGAGTACAGCAAGGAGACGGCGGACCTAATCCGATGTAAGTATGGGCTAAGGGGATTCACCGATGCAGGACTTAAAAGAAACCTCCTCAGTACTGGTCAAGGAGTCAAAGATGTCGATGATGGTGCGCAAGCAGATCGATGAGAGCCTGCGCAATGGAACCCCGCTGCCACTGCCAGAGCCTCCTCGTCCCAACACCAACAATGATCCGGACAAGGAGACTCTGGCAATTCTGGAGCGGGCCCGGAACGCCAAGCGAAAGAATCTGCGCCAGATCGAGGCCAGTGGCGCCTACAATGCCAGCTACTATCGTCCGCCCGCCGACAACAAGATGCACGGTGAGAAGGCCAAGTCCCGGCTGCAGTTTACCATGGCCGGCACCCATCTTCCCGATCCGGCCATCAAGCCACGACGTCGTCCGCGTGAGGAGAAAAACGTCACGGAGGAAGATCTTATCAATGAACGTAAGTGCATGAGATTCTGGAAGGGATTTCGAGCATCCTTTATCCTTTTCCCTTGGCAGTGCTGGACCAGATCAACGAGCGCGCCAACTGGCTGACCGAAATGGAGTCCATGGGTCAGGGCAAGAAGTATCGGGCGGAGATAAGCGACCAGATCGCAGAGCGGCTCCGTCGCATCCAGGCGCTGGAGTCCAAGATCAAGATGAAGGCCGATGGTGGTTTCCGTTTTGTGGACTAAATGTGTTATCTGTGTTTCTTCCTCGAATAGTTATCCTGTTTTCGAAAAGCAATTCAATAAATGCCAAGATTCATTAATTAAGATTTGGATTTGCATTTAACATTATTAGCGATTAATAGTTTTATTTTTTAAATTATTTTGCGGTTTCGTATAATTTGGATTTCGTTAGATTTCGTTTTTCCATTGGATCTCTGGCACATATTTAATACACACTCATTATAACAATTTTAAGAAGCCCAAACATGAGATTTTTTGGCAAAAAGAGCATAAAGTACAATGTTAAAAATTCATATTTAATTAAAAATACCGAATAAATTACTTGATTATATTGAATATCTGTGTATATAGAATATATACGGCTATGTTTCCTATTTATCTACTTTTGTTTCTTTGTATATATATATATATATATCTGCACGCATCTGATTTTGTTCCAGGTTCTGTATTGGTTCCATTCCAAAAAATAGACATTTTGAGACCTCAGTTTTGTGCTCAACCTTGGCTTAGAGGGTGGTAGTGGTGGTAGGAGTACTCTTAACATGACGGCATGTGGCATCGGAACTCGCCTGCAGCCTCGGCAAAGCGGTTTCGAATGAGATAGCCACTGATTACTTCGGCTACCTCGTGGGGACGGTCCTCGTGCACGGCATGACCGCAGCGGGCTAGAACCTGCATCTGAAAGCGACCCTGCATCTGGCCCACGGTGAGCGTGCGATCCAGTCCATCGATGCTGGCCAGGAGCAGCTGCTTCGGCAGGCGCAAGTTGAGGAACTTCTCGCTCAAACCCGAGAACCAGCCCACCCAGTACTTCTCCGACTTGGAAAGATCAATACGCCAAGTGTAGCTGTCCCATAAATATTTCAATTAGTTATCTAAGTTCTCTTAGGGATTTCTAAACTCACTTCTTGGCCGCATCCGTCATCGATTTGGTCGTGATGGGTTTCTTGAAATCAGCGCCTGCTGAATCACTGCTTGTTTCGGGCGATTCATCGCCCGGTGGAGACTGTTCCTCGTCTTCGGAAATGCTGAACGGATTGGGGAACATGCTCGTGTGATGAGCCTCCTCGAGGACCTCATCCGGCAGTGGCAGATCATTCGTTGCCAGTTTGTTCGTTGTACAGCTAAAGGATGATAGGTCTTAGTAACTTAAAATATTAAAGTAGAGTGGCTTACTTTATTATCTGCCCGGGCATGGACACTTTGGCACTGTCCACATTCCGCACTTGGCCGCTTCGGATGCACCACTCAATGGCATTGGGAATACTCTGGAAATACTTTGGACGGGAGCGCAAAAAGCTCTGCATGCTGGCCAGGGCCTCCATGGCGGTGCCCTCCACCACGTCTATGACGGTTATACCGATAAGGTTTGGTACCAGAGCCATGTGGGCAAACTGGACGGCAATGGCTCCGCCCATGGAGTGTCCAACCACATACATTTGTGGCACCTCCTCGGGGTACAGTTTCAGGACCAGATCACCAATGTCCCTGATGGGTGGGGAGTCATTTTTAGTCTATAGTTCTTTGTGGACTAGAAGCTAACTTACTTGGCCAGTGTATCCGCCGAAAGGTCGTCCTCGTCGTCCACCTTGCTGTCTCCGTGGCCCCGCATATCAATGCTGAGGCATTGGCAGTGGATCATGCTCGTTACCTCCGACTGAAAAGTAGGGCAATTAGATAATCACCTCAAGGTAGGAAGAGTTTCTTTGTGAATACTTACACAAAAGTGGGCCCAGGTCAGGGCCGAGTAGCCACCGCCATGGAGCAGCAATAGAACCGGACCCGGCTTCTCCGGTTTTTTGGTTCGATAGATGCGAAAAGTGCGCTGTTCGTCCACCACGATGTCCTCCTTCTCCGCAAAGAACTCATTCCACATTCCTGGCTTGTAGTCCCGTATGCGCGACTTCTTGAAGGAGTCCCTGTAATGAAGCCCCCGGTTAAACTTGGACTCCGACTCGTTTATATGTATAAGTATCCTTACGCTCGTCCTATACGTCCTCCCGGGATAGTAGGCGGGAGCTTGCCTTTTAGCATCGTTCGCTGCAAACTAGACATAGCGATTGTCCTGGCACTGGCAACTGGATCCTTGACTCGCCGGAAATTCTGTTTGTAACAGATTTTATTTTATTATTATATTACGTTGCCACGACGCCTTGGGAGCCGTGTGATTATTTACACAAGGAAATAGCCCCAATGAGAGGGTATTTATTTAAAGGTTTCACTTTTCGCTTATTGCAAGAAAATGATGATTTTTTTAGTCCTGAAGTGGTAAAGCAGTGTTTCCAATCAGCTGGAGAATGTTGATAATATATCAAAATAATATATCGATAACAATTGGTAAAGCAGTGTCTTCTACAATCTGGCATCACTGAAATGTATACAAGCTTGTAAGCTTGAAATATTTCAAATTTAAAATTCATATTTAGAGGATTCTGAATTTCTTTAATGGGAGAATAATGCCATTACGATAAATGCCCTTTTTCAAACTTCTTAAAAACGTCACAGATCTAAAGAAGAAAATTAAATTTAATCTATAATATTGCCCGCCAAATTATATTTATTTATACAGTTTTAAAACTGTACCTTTGAAAACTAAGGACACTTATTGCAATTTAAAATGTTCAACTGCATTTGAGTTGTTTTTGGAATATATATTCCGGACTAAACAAAACGGAAACGGCACGGGCCCAGTTGTTCAGTCGTTTGATAGCCGGCGACGTGCTCGTACACCGAAAACTAGAACTCTTCTCTGATAAGGCCGGAGAACCTCTCAAAGTTATTTTGACCCCATAAAGTAAGATAAGAACTTGTTGGGCTATATCATCAGAAGTGCCAACATCTTAATCAATTGCGAACGTTTTATGGCACAATTCTGTTTATTTTGAAGTCAGAGTGTAAACAAACATATAATTTTTATTTAAAAGAATGTGAATTTAAATTTATTTTTAATTAAACTGTAAAAGGAAACTAGTAAATTGTAAGTCAAGGACATTTAGAGGGTTAAAGTTTTCATAAACCTGGAAACCCTAAATTGCAAGTGTAGTATCCACCCTCTCGCACGCCCTTCTGGCCACACTATTGTTGTTTTGCCGGTAAATTGCACTTTTGCACTTGTTTTTTTTTCATCAATTACGCCGTCAGCTCATCAATCCGATGGATTAGCGCAACACAAATCATTTCCCAAACTGATTGCCTAACTGATAGGTAATAATGTTAGTTTAACTGTTTATTGGCAAATCGTCATTTTGACATTATGATAAGGAATCCCCTGATAAGCTAATTTTTGCGCTTGACGCAGGTGTGTTAGGCCTGTGTGTGTGTGTGTGTATGTTCGTGTTGTTTGTTTACGTATGTAAATATGTTTCTGCCAATAAATTTAGATTAACCAGTTGCGAGTGTCGTTGTTTTTTTTGCGACACGTTTACAGTTCGTCGCCCAGTGTGCGAGAAAATGAGGGTTATTAAGCTTTCGTTCGTCTACAGGTGAAGATGACTGCCAACGGGAACGGAACAGCTCCAGGCCTGGACACCCAGCCCGGTATCGAAGTCGTGGCCCAGCAGAAGCTACAGCCGGATTCCAAGATTTACGATCGGGTTCAAAAGCTGACCGCCTTTTTCGCCAAGGAATATGGTGTGGAGCCCGAGTTTATTGTTCGCGTCCCGGGACGGTGAGATTATATGAGTCATCTTTTAATTACCTTAAAAACTAATCCCATGTTTTGTAGAGTGAATATTATTGGCGAGCATGTCGACTACTGTGGCTATTCTGTGCTTCCCATGGCCGTAAGCCAGAGCATCTTCCTGGCAGTGGCCAAGAATCCCGATAGCAGTCAACTTCAGCTGCGAAATATTGAGGAAGCCAAGTTCCAGGGCTATGATGCGGATCTGAAAACCTTTAGGTAGATTCTGCTCTTTCTTTTAATTATAGAATATGTCTAAACATGGATCTTACAGAATCGAGTTACCCAAAAGCGGCGGCCCAGCATGGTATAACTACTTCCTGTGCGGCATTAAGGGTGTCCAGGAGCAGCTAGCCAGCAAGTGGAGACCCCTTGGAATGCGCATCGCTGTAGACGGCAACGTGCCATTGGCCGCTGGCTTGTCTAGTTCCAGTGCCATGGTCAGCTCTGCAGTTCTGGCCACCGCCCATGTCCAGGGCATGCAGCTGGATCGCCGGGAGCTGGCCTCTATCTCGGCCAAGTGTGAGCAATATATTGGCACTCACAGCGGAGGCATGGACCAGGCTATTGCCTACTTGGGCCGAGTGGGCTGTGCCCACCACATCGAATTCCATCCCAAGCTGAAGGGCACTCCGGTCACTTTGCCGGCGGGAAAGTGCTTCGTGGTAGCCAACAGCTTGGCCCAGAAGAACAAGGCTGCTTCCTCGGACTACAATGAGCGGGTTGTGGAGTGCCGATTGGCCACACGATGGCTGGCCAAAGTCAAGGGTCTGATCAACTGGCAGGACATTGTGCGCTTTATAGATCTGGAGGAGGCCTGCCAAATGGACAATGAAACATTCGAGAAACTGATCAGGGACAACCTGACCAAAAGCGTTTACACGCGGGCAGACATCTGCAAGGAGTTGGGCATAACCGAGCAGGAGCTGGAGACCAAATTCCTGTCAGCCAACACACGCCATATGGAGCAGTTTAAGCTGCAACAACGTGCCCTCCATGTTATCCAAGGTAAGGTTGCTGCATGATGGTTTAGGAAGCTCTATTATTTCGATGTTTTTTTACAGAATCAGGACGCGTCGCCAAATTCCGGCAGATTTGCGAAGAGCTCTCCTCCACTCCGAATCAGAAGGATGCTAGCAAGCTGGGCCTGCTCATGAGGCAGTCCCATGAAAGCTTACGTGAGCTGTACGAGTGCTCGCATCCTGATGTGGAGCGTCTAATTGAAATTTCCAACAAGCTGGATGTTAGTGCTCGTGTAACTGGCGCCGGGTAAGCTAAGATTGCAATAATTTGCCTCTCAGACTAATTTTTCTTCATTTATTTTAGGTGGGGCGGCTGCATAGTGGCCATGTGCGATTCCGTTGAAATCGCGGATGAGTACATCAAGGCACTGAAGCGGGAATACTATGCCAATCTACCGGCCCATTTGCTGGAGCGCCATCAGCCCAGCGACTTCAACGAGGTCGTCTTTGCCACTTTGCCGGGAAATGGAGCTGAATTATACATAAAGTAAACTATATTATATTTGAAACACCTTTGTGTATGAATCCAAAGCATCTACAGAACTTAGTCATTGAAAATTCTGTGGTAAAAACATTTAATATGTATATGTATGTACAATATATTAACAATTTAAAAGCTAAAATACAACAAGGCACAAGGTGGGGGCGAAACGGAAGTCAGTGGAGATCTATCGGCGACTCAGCCAGCCGGCGTTCTTGAATAGCTTGTAGACCTGCTCGCGTGGGATTTTCTCAGCTTCGCGATGCACCACAGCCATTTCCTTCTTGGTGAGCAGGGACTCCTTGGCCAGGTTGGCGGCAATCACAGGATCATTGTAGAACTTGGCACTCTTTGACAGCTCCGCCGGCAGCTCGGACTCCCATTGGGCGTTGCGAACCACCGACGGATGGGCATCTGCAGTGGCATAGCCCTGGTACTGGGACGCTGGCTCATAGGAGTGTGCTGCTGGCAAGCCCAATGCCTGGTGATAGAAAAACTGTCCCCGTACGGAACTCACAGCTAACATGGCGAGGAGGATGGCGATCAGTGTGGCTTGGCAGGCGGCGGTGGTGGTCGGCATGATTGGATAAACTGGAAAGGGAGCAGGAGCTGGAGCATTATTGTCCAATGCAACGGTCTAATAAACTGATACGGACAGATTTATAGCCGCTGGTCAGTGGCAGTTTTTAATCTACAAGCCGGCTGTCAGTTTCGTGCGTCATAAATTATGTACGGGAAAATCAATTATCTCGCATTTGGCCCATGGAGTGGGCAGCTCAGAGATCTTGGCAGCTCTGAGGCTCTGACTTGGCTTGAACAGTTGCGCTAATCCATGAACTTTTTGCAACTGAAATACTGGCTGTATTTTTTTTATTGATAAGAATTGGAATGGCAAGCTTTAATTGTCAACCGTAGTAGACTCAGTCTACTAGACTGCTCCAATTTGGATTCGAACAAAGCAATCAAGGTTTCAGATACAGATACAGTGGTCTTGTGGGAATAATTCTTTATTTTTTTTCAAGGACATTTTTTGAAATTATGAGGATTTTTATCCTTAAAGTTCTAAGACAGCTTCTAGAATAATTAGAATTTTAATTTTAGTTATATTTTTTTAAAAATCACTCAATTATCTTTTAAGCTAACCACTGTATCTGTATCTGCATAGTAACTCTTAATTAGGCGCCATTAAATGCATTTACATATTCCAAGTCCATTTTATTATATTTTTTTTTTAAGCACCAAAGTCAAGGTTAAAGTCCCACACAACCGAAAAATCAAATAACACGGCACTCACTTTTTATAATATTTTTTTTGTGGATATAAATTTATTTATTATCGGGGTTAATCCTCTGAGATTGAAGCACTTTGACCGAAACTGGAACACCTGGGTTTTGGGTGACGTTGAGACTGTAACTGATCATAGAATATCGAGGCGGCGAACTTTTATTCGCTGGCCGTTGAATGCCACAAAAACGAGTTAAACTCAAAGCCCCAAGCTGAAATTCAGAGCCCCCCTCCCCCCACCAGCTTTGAATCATGCTCAAATAAATGCCTCCAAATCTCACAGAATGAGTCAAGTTTTCTTGATTTTTTTTTTGTTTTTTTAGCGGGGGCTGCTTTACATTTTATTAAATTAATTATGGTTGGGTATGGAGTTTGGCTGCAGTCTAGCCACTGACCTAGGCCTAGGCTCTGAGATCTGAGATTTGAGATCTGAGAGCTGGGCAATTAAAAGCAATGATGTCTGTCGCCGTTTCTCATGCTCCATAAAAGTGCCCCCCAAAAAAGGTCGCCATACCAGCCCGGCAGTACGACTTTTTACGCATGGAAAAGTTGCACATATCTATATGGATTTTTTACACGGAAAACTACTATATATTAAGCTGAAATTTTGATGATTTAATAATTATAATATAAAGATTATATTATGAGAGATTTTTATTAGAAATAAGGATATATAGTATGATCTTAGACTCATTTAACAAGAACCTCAAGAACCTTCTTTATTATTTTTATTTTATATTTATTAGAAAACTTGCACTTATCTATATTGATTTTCTACACGGAAAACTACTATATATTTCGATGAAACTTTAATGATTTAATAATTATAATATAAGTATTGGATTATGAGAGATATTTATAGAAACTAGTAAGATCTTAGGCACATTTAGCCTCAAGAACCTTCTTTATTATTATTATCTGTTTTTTTTTTTAATATTTTTTTTCTCAGTGCTTAATCCGCACCGATTACAATGATTGACAAGTTTGCTTAGAATCCAAGTCTGGCTCGAAACCGGCCAGTGTGCGATTTTGAAAGTGCCGATTGAAATTGACCCTGAATCGAATGCTCAACTGTTGCCTGCACATGTTTGACCCTAATTTGCCACGGGTGTCGGCCGGGTTTATGCTAGGCCGGGCAGGGGGTTATTCAACCGATCAGTTGAAGGCGGAAGCTGGCTGGATATTTGGCATAAACATATTCATAAACCGACCACCGACCGAGGATAACCTTGAACTTTTCCAATCAGGTGCGTTTCTTGGTCTTCGATTGGTATTTACATTGTTTGCGGGGGCTATGATTCGAATTTGTTGTTGTTCCATGTTTCTTGGGAGTGGCCGTGGCAGATTGATATTTAATTAATGACCATTTATCGGGTATTTGTAGTTGCATATTAAATAAACAAATTGCCTGTGCATTGTCTGGCCTGGCAGCTGTTAATGAGCTTGGTCTTTGAACTTTAATGGGCTTTGGTTTTTGGATGCCTCCATATCGGAGGCAAGCTTATATAGGCCCGTGAATTAAGCGAATTTGAATTTTATTACATTTTTTTTTATGCACATTGCCTCGACCCACACGCAGCTCCCGCCAAGGACGACCAATGCGCGAATTCAAGTGCACGAATTTGTGGCCCAATGCAAACGGCTATCGGGCAACGCGGCGTATGAGCAACATCCGCTTTGGCCGGGCGACGCGCATTACGTATACGCACCCGTGGCCGCCCCGTGAGTGAAAGTTCTCAACGAATACGAATCTGACCTTGAATGCGGTGAGTGAGGTGGCGAGTTTGACGCCTCCTACCGGCTTTCGAAATGCATTTTGCTGAGAGGCATGAGTGCATTTTGGACGACGACTCGCTCTCGATATGCTCGCACTGCAGCTTGCCAGGCGACTACCAGTCGACGTTTTGCAGTTCGGCGGGCGGTTTGTGTTTCGCTTCACGCTTCACGCCATTCGCTTGGGTGTGCTATAACCATAGTGTCTTGTTAGCCAGTTGGGTACGACGAGCTATGTACATGGCGGCGGAAATTATACAATAATTGTGTCGTTCAAACTAAACAAAAAAAAAACTTGGTCTGACCTGGACTGATTCTACGATTTGGTGTCAAAGAAAATGCTGCAGCGGCAGAAATCGACGGCAAGGCAAGCACTCGATTTGGCAGCTGCCTCCCTCAGTCCAAGCTCACAACCATAGCCGCCAGTCCCCTTGGAACGGTCAAGTGAAATGGAGACAATAATGGCCATGGCAACGGTGAGTTCAGTGGCGGCACCAGGACCTTCGACCACTAACGGCTGCCCGGCGTCACTGGCCGTCAATCAGTTCGAGGAGAATGTCGAACACCTGCGCCAGCTATTCAGCCAGAACAAGCTGGTGTCCTTTAGTATTGCCCACATCGCATGCACCGCGGGCAGCAGTAGCGGCGATAACTACATGTCGGTGGTGAAGCGGGTGACCATCAGCCAGGCAGTGGCCCGGGATCAGGAGCAGCCGGCCGCCAACGAAACGGGTAAATTTTAGCAGAAAAAGATCGGGCAGTGGCTCATCTCATTGATTTTCTTACCGATACCCTGTAATTGCAAGAGTATGCACTTTTTTAAGAGTTTTTAATCCTTTTTTAAAAACTTATCTTACTCTTTTTTTACTTTTTTAATTAATTTAAGTTAAAATCATACCCTGGTAATTATTTTTGAGGTACCACCTCGTCGATACCCTTCGCATATCATCCATATTCATAGTTGTTCATAGGTGGTGCCAGCTCCGCTGAGCGGCGGCGTCGAGTGGGTTGACCTTGTTGCACGCATTTCTAAATGCAATGCACCCATACACCCAAGGCGTATACGTAATATATAGATTCGTTAAAGGTCAGGACGCATACTCGCGCCCCAGAGAGAGGAAAAACAGTTTCGCGAGAGCCACAGCCACCTAACTCTCACGCACGCAAGGTCACCCACCCCATTTCATTCATAAATCGCTGCCAGCGACGTAAACAAATGTCAGCTGTTCGTCACCGCTACTCTCACGGTTTGTTTTGCTCTGTGTTTCCTTCTTCTTCTCACACCGCTCCGTCTGCCTCTGTCGCTGCTGCCTCGGCTCCTCCAGTCACGGTCATCGTTAAGCGGCAGATTGCCAGCCTGTCCCGCCGACAGCTTTACCGCTGCGAGGAGGCCTTTAGCAACGAGATTAACGCCTACCGGCACCTGGTACCCCTGCTCGCCGCCCACAGCCGCCAGCAGCTCTTCCCGGTGTGCCACATCGCCGACAGCCACGACCGTGGACCGCCACAGGACTCGAATGGGGAAGCTGGCGAGCCCATCATTGTACTGCAGGACCTGAAGACGCTCGGCTATCAGATGAAGGACCGCCTGGTGGGATTGGAGCTTGGCGACTGTATCCTGGTGATGAAGGTGAGTGAATACCAGAAATGAGAACTTATATATTGTCCTTTCAAATCCCTTCCAGAAACTGGCGCAACTCCATGCCGCTTCCCTGGCTGCCCAGCAGCTGGACTTTCCGCACTTCGTCGCCCAGGCAAGGAATCTTCGAGAGATTGTTTACTGCGAGGAGGCCGCCGAGTTTTACGCCACCATACTGGACACCTCCGTGCAGCAGGCCTTGGACAGTCTAGGAGGCTCCAATGCAGACGGTAGTTTGACGACTCCCATTCGCCTTCTCGAGCAAATACGGCCCAATCTTTACGATAAATTGAAGCAGGAGATTAACGCGGCTGGGGAGACGCCGTTCAGCGTGATTAGTCATGGAGATTTGTGGGTGAACAACATCATGTTTCGCTCCCAGCCGGAGGAGGTGATCTTCTTTGATCTGCAGGCCATGCGCCGTACATCCCCTGTCTTTGATATCCTGCACTTCATCTACACAAGTACCAGAAGAGATTTCCGCGACGTGCACACCGACACTCTACTGGCAGCCTACTCGGAGGCGCTGGGCCAGGAGCTGGTCCACCAATTGGAGGACACACCAGCGGGCGAGAGACTGGAGGAGCTATGCGAAGCCTTCTCGCTGCAGCGGCTCAGCGCCGAGTATGTGCGTCAGGTTCACTATGGCTTGGCCATCGGAATGTGGATCCTGCCGGCAGTTACATTCGATACGAACAATTTGCCCAACCTGGACGTGATTAGCGAGCAGAACCTTTGCGGCAAGGAGATCAAGTGCACCCAGATGCTCACAGCGGAGTACCACCTCCGCATCCGAGAGCTCGTAATGGAGTTCTATGACCTCGGCTATCTTCATGTGGAAAAGCAAAGTATATAGCATCTCCATTCTAAAATTCCGTAAAGAAAAGCAAATAAAAATCCCGAATCCAGGATTATAGTCACTTAGTAATAGTATTAACTTATATATTAACGATCGCAATAAACAGTTTGACGATTTTCCCGGAGGAACTGCAGCGGTAGTAGTTGTAGGTTCCTTTATTACCGAATAATTGTTCATTTTTAACTTACAAATGTTTCGTAGAAAAACAAATCTGGCGGGATTTAAAGCCAAAACAAAGAACTTATAAAGAACAGAGGACACGCCGGAGCGTGGACATGGATCTGAAGGCTTTACAAGTGTAACATGCATGCGTGGAATTCCGAAAGACTGGTCCGTTTCGAGCTGTTTCCGGCGAAATCTCACTTTCCGCCACCGCCCCATCCAAGGAATCCCTTGACAAAGCCGGTAATCGAGGGTCCCTTCTTCCCGGGCGACTCTAGCTTATCGTCCAAGGAGGGTAGCTCCACGTAGTTCATGGCCAGATCAAAGAAGAGGGGCTTGCATGGAATGGGTTCCATGTCGGGCGTAAGCTTGAACACGTTGGGGGTTTTAGTGTGCAGAGATTGGTCCTCCTTGTACAGGGATAACCTCTCGTACAGCGGCTTCGTTGTTTTCTGCGACTTAGTGGTGGTTCCGGCTTCTTCACTGTTATCATCCTCGAGCACACTGTAGGCGTGGGCGGAGAACTTGCAACCGTCGATGGCCGAAACGACCTTCTTGAGCTCCTCCTGCAGCTGAAACTCTGGGCTGGCCTTGCCCTTCAGGGCCTCGCTGGCATAGTTGGAGGCGCGTTCGTACAGCGCCACTGCCTCCTTCCACTTCTTCATGTCAATGAGCGTGAGTGCAATGTAGTAGCAGCGGAAGGCCTTGAAGGTAATGGATAGGTTTTCCACCTCAGCCTGGTACTTGGCGTCCTCCTCCATGCCAGTTATTTGCTGCATTTCGGTAACATTCTGCAGAATGATTTCGTAAAGGCGGGCCAAATCCTGTGATCGTACGCGCTTGCCGTCTCCGATGCTCTGCTGTGACTGCTGATTGGGATCGTCGTAGTTGAGCTTGGCCTATAAATGAATATCCAAACCTGATGACTATGTTATTAGGGAGAAGCCACATCGACTTACCTGCTCAACCAGGCACAGATTACGCTGCAGCGTGCGGCTATGGCGAATATAGCTTAGATAGGCCAATAGGTATTGCACTCCCGAGACTGTCTGGCCAGTGGTCAGCGAACGCAGCTTAGGATCCTGCTTGATCTCATCCCTAACGGCCTGGATGGCGTCCTTGCAATCCATTAGGATTCGTTCAATAAGCTCAATCTTAGCGTCCAGCTTTGTGGTCTTTGCCAGCGACTTGTCCAGCTCCTGGGCGCTGAGCAGGAACAGGCGTACCTTCTCTGGACGTACGGTGACCTTGCGACCGCGCCAGTCGATCGTCTGCAGGCCCTCGCTACTCTCCGTCTTTGTCTGACTGACCAGCACATCAAGGTTTTCAAGCACTCCCTGGGCACGCAACTCCAATATTTCGTCAATCTTGCCGCCGCCGGCACCACCACTGATGTTATACGCGCAATAGCGTAGATTGGGCGTGAACTCGTTCACCTTAGCGCGGTACAGCTCCTGTTCATCGTCGGGCAATGCCTTGGCCAGATTTTCGTACACTACCTGGGCGCGTTTCAGGTGCTCACCGGCAGTCTTCCACAGTTGCAGTTCGAAATGCAAGGTGCCGTGCATCCAGGCAACGTAGGCCTCGCATTCCAGCTTTGTCCGAGCGTCAAAGGCCTCCGTCTGGAAAAGGCACAAATATTATACTTAAGGGTAACTAAAATTCCAGCTTAGACCTACGTTGCACAGCTCCTGCAGCTGGAGGGCGTAGAAACATGCTCTCCTCAGTTTGTTGATCAGATGGAAGCGCTTGCGGGGCTCCGTGTTGGACTCCTGTTTCAGCTGCATGGCGTACGCCCAGGCTCGCTCGGCACTGATCAACGGGATGTGGATAAAACGCTCGTCGGCCTTCTTTCCAGTCAACTGTCCAATGGTCACATCGCGGCGCTTGAAATGACGCTTGTCCCCCTGGGGGTACTTCAGGGCTTTCCTCAACCGACGGATGCGACGAGTGCAGTAACCCCGATACCGCTGAAAGTCACCGTGACGCAGACCGTGTTGCTGCTGGGCATCCTTGATCATATGCAGAACTACAGAAAGGAGAGTGAAAGTTAATTTATGGGCATATACACTTTTAGGTTAAACGACGCGTCCAACCCGTCTGGAAGGTCGCGACACCTCTCTGTACTACTCACTCTCCACGGTGAAGATCTTGACTGGCTCAGGAGCCACCGGAGCACTCTCTGTCTTCTCCACTACGTCCCCAATATTGGGATTATCTTCTTGGACAACCATTTTTCCAGCAGTCCGACACAAATCAACGACGTGTAAAATCTAGGGATGACAAACCAGTTGGGATTGTCAAAAACATGCAAATGTTATCGATAAGTGCGAGGGTGTCAATTTGTTTACATATATCGCAAAAGATTTTAAAATATTTAGATTATAAAATTATTTTGACAGAAGTAATGGAATTTTTGGAAATTAAACATTTAATTCGGAAAAAACAAGCCAATTAAAATCTAAACAATAAAAGGTGGTCTAAGAGTTTCTTAATCTGTAGTCTATAGCTTCACTAGGCCATCGCTAACTACCAGTGCTGCGAAGCACCATAGAACAGCCCCTTTTGAAACTTGTTGGCTGACACGCAAGAGCGTGCGTTCCGTCAGTTTTACAACAATTTCGGCCTAGTTCGCAGGTAAAATTCCAGGATTACCGCCTGTGGCTAACGAATTGAGAGATGGCACGTTCTTCCTTCGGTCAGAGTGGCGAAATTCGCAGTGGAAATCAGTTGTTTTGGCCACGCTTTGAGGTTATACTTTCACTCGCGGCCCCCCACCCCCGCTTTGGCCTAGTGAACGCTGCACCAGATTTGTTTTGACTGTCGATTTGCAACGTTGACATTCGAGATAGTTTCCCGAAGTATCAAAGTATTTCGCAATTTCTAATAATCTGATTATCCGCCCACAGCATGTCGCGCAGGAAGGACAACGAGGAAACGGACAAGCAGACGAGGATCGCCATCGTCAGCGATGACAAGTGCAAGCCGAAGAGATGTCGCCAGGAGTGCAAGAAGTCCTGCCCGGTGGTGCGCATGGGCAAGCTGTGCATTGAGGTGACGCCTACTTCGAAGATAGCCTCTCTGTCCGAGGAACTTTGCATAGGTTGCGGTATCTGTGTCAAGGTGGGTCTCCAGTTCTTCTTCCTCCTTTAGAGACTAATTAATGGTTATCAATGTGTCCACAGAAATGTCCCTTCGAGGCAATCACAATTATCAATTTGCCCAGCAACCTGGAGAAGCATACAACGCATCGATACAGCAAGAACTCCTTCAAGCTGCATCGTCTGCCCATTCCGCGACCTGGGGAAGTGTTGGGTCTCGTCGGCCAGAACGGTATTGGCAAGTCCACGGCCCTGAAAATCTTGGCTGGCAAGCAGAAACCCAATCTGGGCAAGTATGCCAATCCTCCGGACTGGACGGAGATCCTCAGCTATTTCCGCGGCTCCGAACTGCAAAACTACTTCACGAAAATCTTGGAAGACAACCTGAAGGCTCTTGTGAAGCCCCAGTATGTCGATCAGATTCCGAAAGCTGTTCGTGGAGCCGTTGGCGATCTGCTCGATAAGAAGGACGAGAGGGAGCTGCAAACCACCATCTGCGATATGCTGGACCTGTCGCATATTCGGGATCGTGAAATCGCCCAGCTTTCCGGTGGAGAGCTGCAGCGTTTCGCTATTGCCATGGTGTGCATTCAGAACGCGGATATCTTCATGTTCGACGAGCCGTCCTCGTATCTGGATGTGAAGCAACGTCTTAATGCTGCCTTGACCATTCGCTCGCTCCTGCATCCCACGAAGTAAGTGGAGTTTACTCCCTTCGATATGTTTCGTACTCAAATTCGTTTATTTAGGTTCATCATTGTGGTGGAGCACGATCTATCGGTTCTGGATTACTTGTCTGACTTCATCTGCTGTTTGTATGGCGTTCCTGGCTGCTACGGTGTGGTTACTATGCCCTTCTCGGTTCGCGAAGGTATCAACATCTTCCTCGACGGTTTCGTTCCCACCGAGAACATGCGTTTCCGCACGGAGTCGCTCACGTTCAAGGTCTCCGAATCCGCCACGGAGGAGGAAATCAAGCGTATGAATCACTACGTTTATCCTGCCATGGTCAAGACTCTTGGAAAGTTCGAGCTCACAGTGGAAAAGGGACATTTCAGTGATTCGGAGATCCTGGTTCTTTTGGGTGAAAACGGAACGGGAAAGACTACGTTCATTCGAATGCTGGCTGGAAACTTGCAACCCGATGGCGAGGTTGACCTACCCATGCTGAACATCTCGTACAAGCCGCAAAAAATTTCCCCGAAGTTCCAGAACCATGTGCGACATCTGCTGCACGACAAAATTCGGGATGCCTATGTGCATCCACAGTTCATTGCTGATGTGATGAAGCCTATGAAAATTGAGGAGATCATGGACCAGGAGGTGCAGAACTTGTCTGGTGGTGAGTTGCAGCGAGTGGCTTTGGTCCTGTGCTTGGGTAAGCCCGCCGATGTCTACCTTATCGATGAGCCATCTGCTTACCTGGATTCAGAGCAGCGTCTTGTGGCTGCCAAGGTTATCAAACGGTAAGATCTATAATTTTAAATATTAATGTTATAGTTTAAATTATTATTTGTGCATTTTAGGTATATTCTGCACGCCAAGAAGACTGGCTTTGTGGTAGAGCACGATTTCATTATGGCCACCTACCTCGCCGATCGTGTCATCGTCATCGAGGGTCAGCCTTCCGTGAAGACGACGGCGTACTCACCGCAATCCCTGCTCAACGGCATGAATCGTTTCCTCGAACTGCTCGGCATCACTTTCCGCCGAGATCCCAACAACTTCCGGCCGCGCATCAACAAGAACAACTCTGTAAAGGATACGGAACAGAAGCGCTCCGGCCAGTTCTTCTTCTTGGAGGATGAAGCCACATGAACTAAGACACAGATTTATGATTGACCCCCGCATTTTGCCTTCCGCTCTCCTATGTTCATCTAGCATTCTTTGGCCAAAACACACACATATACATTGGATTTCTACTTAGTTTTTTTGTTATTGTTGTCAAGGATTGCATACATTCAACAATTGGGAATGTTTTGTAATTAATTAAAGTCAGTTTTATATGCGTTTATATTGCAAAATAAATAGAACCCCCCAAAAGTAACCAGGATGATGGTCATCCTCAAAGGAGTCTAGATAAAATAAACCAATTTTCTTTATACAAAACAGCAATCTAAACAATCTTTTTTTATCAGAGGACAGTGGATTAGCCAAGATACTTTTAAAAACTATTAATATTTTCAAATTAACATGTATTTATTGCACTTAAGCGATAATTACACAAAATACGCACAATAGAAATGTAAAATGTGGGTATAAATTACATACAAATTTTTTTTGTCATTTCAAATACGATCACAATTCGAAATAAACATATTGGATAACAGCTACAAACATTTATAGGTGTATAATATACAATATATTTATTTTTTTTTAATATTTTAGATTTTTTATACGAACGCATGCAGAGCATAATTATTAATGTAAACGCTTTTGAAGCTTTAAATTTTTGCGATTTAATCAAATGTACATACAAATTGTTGGGAAAAAGGCAAATCTTTTTGAATTTATAATACTAAATTTGATCTGTAACTGACTCAAGTAAGTACACTCTATGTATAGGTTAATTTTTGGATACTTATGCGCTAAAAATTCCATAAAAGTAAATGCGTCAAAAATTGACTTAAATATTTGATAGTTTTTGCCATGTGCAGTTTCGGTTTTGAAAGTAGAGAGCAATGCCTTTCGAGGGGGGGGGCGGGGGTTGAGTTACAAATTCCAGCAGTAAATTCAATATATTAGTTAAAAATGGACATACGTATGTCTAAAATTGAGTGATTCTGAGTTGATCCAAAAGCGGATCCAATGTTTTATCCATGAATTCAGTTTCTTTTCTTTTCTTTTTTTTGTTTCTAAATTTTTCTTCAGCATTTGATAATTGTAAATGGAACTTTTAGTGACTTAACTATAGTATTACTTTATACTTAAAAAATTTTAAACATTTGTTTGCAACAGAACGTATCAAAAATAAGTGTATCATGCAGGAGATTGAGAGACAGAGAACTGCTGAGGTAGCCGGCTATGCATCTTCTGCATTGTTCATGAGTGTGCAGACCTCCTGGCTGAGTTCCAAGGCCTGTTTGCGCAGTTTAAGTGCCTAGAAGATTAATTAATATTACTAACATAATTAAAACCATAATTTCCTCCTTGTCACCTGAGTTCTTAGTTCCTTTTCGCGAGTAACTAGCTCCTGGATCTGAGACATGACGGTGGCGCAGCTCCGCTGGTCGATCACCCATCGCAAGTACAGATCTGTTTGATAATTAAATTAATTAAAGCTTAAATATATGTATATGCTATCAAGACTCACCGCTCCATAGTTCCAAGCTAATGGGAGCCACCGATGGCCATATCACATTGGCATTGGGCTCGTACAGCGGATTCAGCAGGGTTTGTAGCACATCGGGGCGGTTCAAATATGACCAGAGGCTCGTCGTCCTAGTATGTACCTTTAGCTCGTGCCGTTCCCGCTCCGAGTCACACAAAAAGGTGCCGTACTGAGAAAAGTGGCTGTGCTCGAAGAGCAGAACCAGCAGCTGGGTGCTGAACTCGAAACTGCACGGGAACTGCGTGTACAGCTGGTAGATGCAGTCCAGGAAGAGCACGAATGTGGCGCCAGAGCTCTTGTTGCGCACCTGGTGCGGGGTGTAGCAGGAGAAGCGGTGCCGGGAGGCGAATGGATGACCAGCTTGAATCCACTCTCGTTCAATTAAAGCTTGCAGTCTGTTGAAAATATATTTCAATGAAATTAAGATCTCCACTATATGAAATAAGGATCAATTTACCCTCTGACGGTGCGACAGTCTGGATTAAGGATGATTTGAACCAACGAGGTAACAATCAGGGTGGAGTCCAATCCCTTGGCTCCATGTACCAAAACCGGACTGCCTTCCTGATCCAAGCACTGAGCCACCACACAAGAAGCATTCAAGGAATTCAGCACGAGACTTAGCCATCCACTGCCCTCCAGACGCGACAGCCACTTGTCCGTGCTGCAGCCCAAGTCGTTGCAGGCCTCGATCAGCCGTGAAAAGCTATCCAGTATGGAGGCAGGTGAGCTGACATTCCCTATGGAGCGATTCACCTTCTTCCACTGAGAATAATGGAGATCTGTTTCAGTGTTGGATTTCCCTTTGCCCCAAGTGTCGACGATGAAGCCTTTACGGCTGCGACCCAGAACCAGGTTGAGAATGGCCTCGTCAGCACGGCAGCGCTTGATGCCCTGGATGGACAGAGGCTGGGAGCTGCGCATAAGCGTGGCCTACGGAAAGAAACGGTGATGTAATTAACAACCAAATAGGTCTATTAAGTATCATAATTCATTCCATTAGGGCTATAAAAATCAAGGATGGTTTCACTTACACCATTCTCATGCCTGTAACTTAGTACGGGAAACCGTCCACCGTCCCTGAACGAAGCGGAGAGCACTATCTGCTCGTCCGTAATTGCTTTAGGTACAATTAGCGTGGCGCCATATGTGGCACAAACGCTGAAGTCTCTGTTGACGTTGCTGATGCGCCACTCGCAACCAGTGGAGACATTTCCACCCCCAAGGCCACCTTGGAGTGCGTCCATTGCGTAGCCATTTTGCAGGGGATGGGGAATACTGCCTCCTCCTCCCATGCTTCCAGCTAACGTGGACGTTGACGACGTTGAAGGCATGCAAATTGTTATGTTGGCCACATTGGGGGACGACGCACCGCCCATTCCCATGCCACTGATAAGCTTTGCGAACTCCAGTTCGGGCCTGTGTTCAGGGGGGAGGGTACGACAATATAATTGAATTGTAGCCAATTTTCAGGGAAGCACTTACCTAAACATAGTGTAGCCATCTTCCAGGATGGAGTACATGGGTCGATAGAAGAACGGATACAGTAGCTCTGTGTTCTGTATGACACTTAGGGCTTCCAGAGAGGCGGTTACGTTGTAGAATTCCTTGGCGCTCTTAATCTCCAGTGATATAATCCTGAGGTCCTTGCATTTCAGGGTGATTAATCCTCCGGTAACGATGTTTTGGCTGAGGCTGGGCTTCTTCTCCACACTGTCGATGTTTTTGTGCAGCAGCTGGAAAAAGTCATCATCAGGAGGGTGTTGGGAATTCAATTAGTTGCGACCAGTTTCACGCTCCATTGGAGCCGAAGCACATCATGTCGTGCGATGACATGTAGCTACCTACCCAAAGCTCCTGGCTATTCTCCTGCCGCGCGCTCAGTAACAGATGGTGGCCGGTGATGCAGAGCGTTCCAACTGTTGCACCCCCGCCAGAACCTGTACCAGTTCCCGGATCATGCAACAGCACCCCATCCAGCTTGGGGGTCTTTATCAAGTCGGCGAATTCCATGGCGAGACCCTCGGCGGGGCGTCCAATTTGATTTCGCTCACACTAATTAACTTTTTGCATTTTTGCTTTTGCCACCCAGTCAGTCGTTGCCCGGCTATCGTTGTTGTTCTTGCTGCTGGCTCCTGTTGCCACTTGATTGCTTCTCCGCCCCCGGCACGCTGTTTTGTCGCTCAGCGTCTCCCCGCTCTCCAGTTATCCCGCGCCTTCCACTGGCTTGCGAACCAACAGCCGTGGGGATTGTACGGGTTCCGGTGGTGATTTGGCGGATATGTGGCTGCGCTAATCTGCGGCAACCGATGCGGCACTCAACTCCGGCCAACTGATAAATACGCTACACGCCCCCGCTCACTGCCCAGCTTGCATTTCTTGGATGACCGTCGGATGTTTGTGTTGGGTTTTTTGTGTCCGTGGGTTTTGTGCTTTTGCGATGTGTGGCCAGAGCTTACTGACGGAAAAACCTTGCCGCACACTGCAACCTGACTATGATTTTAAGAAAAATAATTAACAATTTAAATTTTAAAATTAATTGTATAATAAACACTATTATTTTAATTTGTTTAAAGAATTTAAAATAAGACTTTATTTAGATTTAAATAATATATGCTTTTTTTTACTATCTCATCTAAACAATTTATTTTATTATATTGGAAGTATGGTACTGGAATTTTTAAAAACAATATACTTAAATTAAATTTAAAATCAAAAACTAGATCCCTTAGTTCCACCGATATAAAAAGAATCCATTTGTCGATGTCGTTTACTCGAAGTAAAAGTAAGAAAAGTTTACAATAGACTGCAATATGGCTAAATTAAGTTTTAAATATTTTATACACACACGGAGACAGCGATGGATGCCAGGACAACTGGCCAGAAGAAGCGTCGCAGGATACTCTTTGGAATGCACTGCACCAGACAGCAGCGACGGTGGCAAGGTGACTTATAAACAAAAGAGAATCAGCTCAAACAACTCCTGTGGGACGAACGTTGGTCGGCGGCGGTGCAGTACTGGGCCTGGTCATGATGTCCATAGCGTTCTTAAAGAGCTGCGTCTTCACAAAGTCCGAGGCGGCGACGTTTAGATCCTTTCCAGCTCCGTAACTGCACTTGATGTAGCCGTACAGATTGGCGGCATTCAGAGCTATGGCGATCATCACCAACAATAGCCACTTGAACTTGAAGCCGAAGAGGGCGATCAGGAAGAAGAGGCCCCAGAACACTGGACAGAGAATGAGACCCAGCCAGAAGATGCGCTGCTCGTGCTTGTTAACCCGGCTCTGGTAGGAATCAGACTATGTTTCATCATCGAGTGCGTTTCGTTTTATCAATGTCATGACTCACGTTTTTGGACTCAAACACCCAATGGGACTTGCCGTCGTCATCGACGTAGTTCCACCATCGCAGGCCCACCAGCAGTCGGCCAGAGATGTTCTTCACCGTCCAGAAGTCGGCGGAGAGGAACAGGACAACGAACACAAAGCTTGTGATGAAGGAATCGCTGAACCAGCCGCAGAACATATAAATAACTATAGCGGCGCCCCTGAAGAACAGGTGGAAAAACGTTACATATGGGTGCCTGCCGGAAGAAAAAGTACTAAGGGTTAATCCGTAATCCGAGAGTAAACAAACTGTGCCTACGTGTATTTTTGTCCCGCGCGACTTGGATCGCGCATCTCATCCTCCTCGCCGAAGGGTATCGTGTCATCGTCAAGCAGCGGCACCTGTGTAACACGTAAGATAAATTAGTTCTGCTCAGCAAAATATTTAACTAGTTGATTTCTTTTCTGGGCGGAAAACCCGAAAAAAACCTCTATTGGGGGGTTGTAGAAGATGGCACACCAAAAAGCTGCTTGTTAGGTGTTAGTGCGGCATACATACATTTCTTACCGTAGCGGATGCCATATCTGTGTTGAGGATTTTCTAATCTTTGCTTCAATTTAATTATTAAATGGCTTTTAATTTGATTTTTTAATACATTTTCTGTTCCAGACTTTGTTGTTGCGTTTGCCTGCGTAGTCAGTGACGGCCACAAGAGGTGGCAACTTCCGATAACAACTATCGATGTCTTTTGAACATCACTAAATCATATTAATAAAGAACGCGCGAAATTTGAATGTCGAAAAACACAACGCGATTAATAATAATGAATTTATAAACGTTAAAACGCAATCTGTGTTCAAATCGTATTAGTAACAATTCATGGATGTATTCTCCATAAATCTGCATCAAAATCAGGCAACAAAATATTTTTTAGATTTTTGATAGCACAGTGATAGCTATAACTTTGGCAAAAGTCTTGAGCGGAACACCTTAAAGTATTCGTAGATCTATTCTCCGTAAATCTGCATCAAAATCTGGCAACAAAATATTTTTTAGATTTTTTCCAAATTTTCTGGTGGGTCCCCTTCAAAAATTCACAAAATATATGGAGCCAGTATTTGGACCACAGTGATAGCTATATCTTTGGCAATAGTCATCGGATTCTTGAGAGGAATACCTTAAACGATTCGTGGATCTATTCTCCGTAAATTTGCATCAAAATCTGGCAACAAACTATTTTTTAAATTTTTTCCAAAATTTCTGGTGGGTCCCCTTCAAAAATTCACAAAATGCTTGGAGCCAGTATTTGGACCACTGTGATAGCTATATCTTTGGCAATAGTCATTGGATTCTTGAGCGGAATACCTTAAACGATTCGTAGATCTATTCTTCATAAATCTGAATCAAAATCTGGCAACAAAATATTTTTTAGATTTTTTCCAAAATTTCTGGTGGGTCCCCTTCAAAAATTCACAAAATGCTTGGAGCCAGTATTTGGACTACAGTGATAGCTATATCTTTGGCAATAGTCATCGGATTCTTGAGCGGAATATCTTAAACGATTCGTGGATCTATTTTTCGTAAATTTGCATCAAAATCTGGCAACAAAATATTTTTTAGATTTTTTCCAAAATTTCTGGTGGGTCCCCTTCAAAAATTCACAAAATGCTTGGAGCCAGTATTTGGACCACTGTGATAGCTATATCTTTGGCAATAGTCATCGGATTCTTGAGCGGAATACCTTAAACGATTCTCCGTAAATCCGCATCAAAATCTGGCAACAAAATATTTTTTAGATTTTTTCCAAATTTTCTGGTGGGACCCCTTCAAAATTTCGCAAAATTCATGGAGCTAGTTTTTGGACCACAGCGATAGCTATATCTTTGGCATTAGTCATCGGATTCCTGAGCGGAATACCTTAAAAGATTCGTAGATCTATTCTCCGTAAATCCGCATCAAAATCTGGCAACAAAATATTTTTTAGATTTTTTCCAAATTTTCTGGTGGGTCTCTTCCAAAATTTACAAAATGCTTGCATCCAGTATTTGGACCACAGCGATAGCTATATCTTTGGCATTAGTCATTGGATTCTTGAGCGGAATGCCTTAAACGATTCGTAGATCTATTCTCCATAAATCTGCATCAAAATCTGGCAACAAAATATTTTTTAGATTTTTTCCAAATTTTCTGGAGAATCCTATAAATTATCTACAAAAACGCATGGGCCACATTATGGTATCCGATTCTTGAACGGAATAACATAAATATATCTAGATATTCTAGATATATACTTCGTAAATATGCAATAAAATCTGGAAACAAAATTTTCGACTTCTTGTATTATGTATATTCAAAAAGTTCAACATTTTAAAGAAATTCCTTAAACGTAAGTATTGTTTTCATAAAGCTCTTTTATTAAGTACGAATCAATATTTAACTTCAATATTAACTTTAATAATGTGTTTTTCAATGTGATTAAAAACTGTACTATAGTTAAGCTCCATATTGCCCCATAATACCGTTGTCGTGTTTTATTTTTTAATTTTTCAAGACATTTGATCTGGAAAATCCAATCAATTATGCACTCAGTGACATACATGGATTTCTCAATTCTGCATATTTGGTGCACAAACCAGAACGTGTGCATCTGAAACCGCAGTGGAAGCCATGGAAGTGCGGTCTCTGCGACACTAACATAGCCCACAAAACTCGGAAACATAATCAGTAGTTCTTTGATCGTCTGATCTGTCGGGCGGGAGATACTGCTCACGAAATCAGTTATGAAAAAGTGCCGCGCTTCCTGCAGGATTGCGATTATCGGAGCAGGTGCCTCGGGCGTAGCGGCTGCCACACGGCTCCTTGAGAATGGATTCTGCCACGTGCAGATCCTGGAGGCGGAGGACTACATCGGTGGAAGGATCCGTACAATTCCATTCGCTGATAACGTGGCCGATCTAGGGGCGCAATGGTGTCATGGAATGAAAAACAACTGCGTCTACGACATGGTCAAGCATTTGGATCTCGTGGCTCCCACTGGGGATTTCTTCAACGATGTGGCTATGGTTCGATCCAACAAGGAAGTGATTCCTTTGGAGCTTGGACACAAGCTTCAAGAGATGGCCTATGGTAGCATTCCCAATGATTCGACTCCTGCCGTGGGATCTATGGGTAGCTACGTGGTGGAACAATTCTGGAAGGCGGTAGACAACCAGATTCCAGACGTCGATCGTGAACTGGCTGTCGAGTTTCTGGAGTCCTTTCAGAAGCACGAAAGCTCCATCGAGGGCTCCGACAACCTCTTTGAGATTTCTGGCCGATCTCATCTAGAGTACGAGGAATGTGAGGGCGACCAACTGGTCCACTGGCGATGCAAAGGATACGCGAGGTTCCTACGTTTGCTGATGAAAGTTGGCGAAGATGAGCCCTGCGAACTGGGATTACTCAATGGTCGTGTCAAATTCGGAAAGAAAGTGTCTCGAATCCAAATACTTCCAGGCCGTAAACTGCAGGTTGATTGTGAGGATGAATCCTTCAAGGTGGACCATGTTATCTGTACTGTGTCCCTGGGAGTTTTGCAAAAGGAGATGGACACCATGTTTAGCCCACCACTTCCTCCTGCGAAAGTAAAGGCCATTCAGAGTCTCCGACTGGGAACTGTTGATAAAATATTCTTTGAATATGAGACGCATCCCTTTCCCAAAGACTTTGTAGGCTTCTATCCCCTCTGGCTGGAGAAGGATTTAAAAGAGCTCCGTGAATCGAAGCATGCATGGTTGGAGGGCATTACTGGCATTCACAATATTACATGCCAGCCTCGGGTGGTGCTGGCTTGGGTGGGGGGCGTCCATGGCCGGAAGGCAGAGTTGCTGACGGATGAGGAATTCTTGGAAAGTATGCAGTGGCTTTTCCGAAAGTTTCTCAGTTTTGAGATGCCGGAACCTAAGCGCTTCTTGCGAACAAAATGGTATCTAAATCCAAACTTCCGCGGGAGCTACAGCTATCGCACCACGACAGCCGATGAGCTTGATACAGGTGCTTGGGACTTGGCATCACCCATTATGGGTGAAGAGAACCATCCAAGCCTTTTGTTTGCAGGGGAAGCCACCAGTAGGTCTCATTATTCTACGGTTCATGGAGCCACGGAGGCGGGATGGCGCGAGGCGGATCGGTTGATCGAATATTACGCTATCTGTAACTGATTTATATACTTTTTTCTGGTACTTTGATAAAATGAAAATTCTCAATCATTTCTCAGTGAACTGTAGCCCCACTGAATTAAAGTGTTTATTTATTTATATATTTTTTATATCATTTTCAACGAATAAATTATAACAATTTTAGACAAAAATGTTGTTGTTTCTCGTTGCCTGAGCAGTAAGCTTCACTGCATATCCACTTTTGGTAAAATAAACGCTATTTTGTAATGTGTTAAAAAATTATTTTGGAGTACAGTTAAAAAACAACGGTTTGGATAGATTCGAAATTGCCGCCTCGTCTATCGATAAACAGTTTCTATCGGATATCGCAATCAGCTGTTTTCATCACCACTTAGCCAGGGACTTTTATTTAAGTTTGACATAACATTTTGAACAATAACAATGCAAATAATAAAGAATTTCAGCAGTAAATTACTTAGACACAAATACCTGTGCCAGCCGAGACTCCATTCCCTTTACTACAGCACTGTCAAAGGTGAGTGATGGACAATTTCATTCATAATTCAACGAAATAAGGGATCTCCCGGCTTTAGATGCGGATAAGCAAAAGGATCTTCCGCTGGCGTCGGGTTATCAGCCTAAAATTGTGGAAGACGCCTACTGGGAGCGAGAGCATCGACATGACAACTTGCCGAAAATTGGGGGCCAGCGGTGTAAGCGAGGAACATACCGCATGCTGCTTCCCCCTCCGAATGTCACAGGAAACCTGCATCTGGGACACGCACTGATGGCCACCGTTCAAGATGTCATTGCCCGCCAGCAGAGTCAGTTGGGCTATCAGGTAGACTGGGTGCCAGGCACGGATCATGCTGGCATAGCTACCCAGGTGGTAGTGGAGCGCACCGTTGCGGCTGCGCAAGGAAAAACTCGTCAGGAACTGGGTCGCTCTGCCTTCCTGAACGAGGTGTGGCGATGGAAGGCTGAAAAAGGCGCTGGCATCGCCGATGATCTCAGAAAGCTTGGTTGCACCCTTAATTGGCAGCGGGAGTACTTCACAATGGACAAGCAGCAGGCTCATGCCGTGAACGTGGCTTTTGAAAGGCTATTCGAAGAGGGTCTCATTCGACGGCGCAACTCGTTGGTCAACTGGTCCACCCATCTACGCTCCGCCATCTCTGATATTGAGGTGGAGTTAATGGATATCAAGGAGCCAGTTGAGATCTCGGTCCCTGGCTATGAGAAAACCATTCTGTTTGGTCGAATCTTCGACTTTGCTTATACCGTAGTGGATGGTGAAAAGTTGGAGGATGGGTCCACTGAGGAGATTGTAGTATCCACCACACGACCGGAGACCATTTTGGGCGATGTAGCCGTGGCTGTCCATCCCTTAGATCCGCGTTATGCTAAGTATCGTAACCGCGGGGAGGTGAAGCTGAAGCATCCCTTTCGACAGGACACCATTCCCCTGGTTTTTGACATATTCGTGGATCAGGAATTTGGAACTGGCGCCGTAAAGATTACCCCCGCTCACGATAAGTTCGATTTCGAGCTAGCAACGCGCCACAAGCTGGAACCGCGCCAGGTTTTCACCGAGACCGGCCATGTGGTGGAAGAGTTCCCGGAGTTCAAAGGAAAGGCACGCTTCGAAGTTCGAGACTTGATTGTCGACAAATTGGAGGACTTGGATCTGCTGCGAGAGGTGCGCGCCCACAGTATGCAGCTGCCGGTCTGTTCCCGCTCCAAAGACGTTATTGAGTACATGATTGTGCCGCAATGGTTTCTCAAGTGTAAAGATATGGCCAAGGATGCCCTTTCGGAGCTCCACAGTGGCCGGCTACAAATTCTGCCCAATAGCTTTGACGGGGAGTGGGAACGATGGCTTGAAGACTGCCGGGACTGGTGCATTTCACGACAACTGTGGTGGGGCCATCAAATACCTGCCTACCACATCACGGATTCCAAAGGCACAAGTCACTGGGTGGCAGCTCTTAATGAAAAGGCGGCCCGCGAGAAGGCAGTTAAACTGATGGGCAGCGAAGACTTCGAAATAACCCAGGATCCTGATGTGCTAGACACTTGGTTTTCCTCGTCGCTGTTGCCGTTTTCCGTTGCCGGGTGGCCAGACGAAAAATACAGGGAAAGATATCCCTTGGACCTCATGCAAACGGGTCACGATATCCTGTTCTTTTGGGTTGCCCGAATGATGATGATGGGTTTGAAACTGACTGGCCAGGCGCCTTTCCAGCGCATTCTCCTCAACGGCATTGTGTGCGACGCTCAAGGCAGGAAGATGTCCAAGAGCTTGGGCAACATTGTGGCGCCGCAACAGGTGGTACAAGGTGCCAGCTTGGAGGTAAAATAATGGTTTTAGTTTTTTTTAATTTTAAGTAATTTTATTTTCTTGCAGACTCTAACAAAGGGCCTGCAGGAATCCCATGATGCGGGCATCATAAAGAGCACTGAGCTTAAGACTTCGACAGAAGGAATGACAAAGATGTTTCCCAACGGCATCCAGGAGTGTGGCACTGATGCTCTGAGATTCACCCTGCTTAGCCACAACATCAAGAACCACTTTATCAGTTTCGATGTCAATGCCTGCTACACCAACAAATTGTTTCTCAACAAGATCTGGCAGGCTCTCAGGTTCACCATGGGCTCTGCCAAAGGGTTAGGTATTACTCTGGACCAGTTCGAGAGCCTACAAGGGGTAAACCTAAGCCTATGGGATCAATGGATCATTGGGCGTTTGGCGGAGACTTTGGCCATTTGTTCGGAGAGCTACAACACCTACAACTTCCATTTGGCCACAGCCGCCTTGAAGACCTTCTTCTATCAAAACTTATGTGATACTTATCTGGAGACTACGAAGACGGCTATAGCTAACCGTACCCCCGACGCGTTCATCCATGTGGGCACCTTGACCGCCTGCCTCAGTTGGGGTCTGCAGGCTATGGCTCCGTTCACACCCTTTGTGGCCTCCGAGCTGCTGCAGCACATTCCGTTGAACATCGAGCTGAAGCTATCAGAGTACCGAGACGCCACGCTGGAGGAGGAGGTCAACGAAATCGTAAACATCTGCCAGAGTGTGCGCCAAGTGAAGAGTCGCAACCAGATTAGCAAGCGACACAAACCCCAGCTGAGTCTCTTTGCCCAGAATCTGGAGGCGGAGGAAGTGCTGCGCCGCCACCTGCCACAGATCAAGGTTCTTACCCGCTGCAATGACGTGGAGCTGCAACTGCTTGACGAGGACTCGAAATTCTCAAAGAAACTGAACTTTTTCTCGACGGCTGGCCCGTTGTGCTCGTTCGGCTTGAGGATTTCCGATGAGGTGGCCGTTCCCAAGGAGAAGCTCAACGAAATGCAGAAAGCCAATCACAAGAAACTGAAAAAGCTGGTGACCGAACTTCAAAGGTATCGGATGCGTCTGGACAACGAAGCCTTCCAGATGCTGGCTGACAAGTCCATCAAGCAGCATTTCGAGAATAAGGTAAGTTTTAAAAATTAAACTTAACTTTTTAAAATATTAAAGTATGATCTCTTTAAAGGTGAAAGAACTGGAAGCCGAGATCAGTGTTCTAACTGAAATGGCAGCGTGATCCTGATTATCTAAATTAGTCATTGTTATGTTTAAATCGCAAAAGTCCCCTGTGTTTTTTATTAAAATAAAAGACTGCAATATTTGTTATTGTTCATGTTTTAGGCTTTTAAATTAATATTTCACGATTGCCACTACTTTTTGTTTGCGATTATTAGTTTACACGTTTAACACTTTTTCTGGCGGCAGACACACTCGAGAAGTAAATCGTTTTTTTCCTAGGATTGTTTTTTAGATCACGATTGCTAATTGTTGATACTTTCACAAAGGCTTTGAAAATATTTGTAAACAGTAATATTACTCTGTTTCTTCCTCGACTTCCTGCTTCCGCTCCAAGAAAAGATATCCTTCATTATTCTAATAAAAATTCAAGTCTTTTATTTTGCGATTATTATAAAATTGGACACGCATTCTGGGAATACGATATATAGAACCCCCTATTGGATATATCCAGATCCTCATTTCCATCCGTGACTGTGTAGACCACAAAGGGTTTCGCCGCCGTTGTGGTGGACACCAGGCCCAATCCACAGAAACGATCGCTTGCTAAGGAAGTGCCACTCTGCGTGGGCGCCGGAATTACGATGTAATCCGTAGTGCACTCCTGGCTCTGGACAGACGAAGTGGCCAGCAGGGATGGATCCACTGCACCCACATCGTTCGTCAGCGTAAAGGAATACACATCCGAACTGACCTGGCTGTAGGTAATGGAGCACATGCCGGTCGCCTTGCGGATGCAGATTCCGTACTTGGTGTTCGCCAGCTGCCTGGTACCCGGTACACCGATGGAGTTCTGCGCCGAGGAGGCTGACGAGACGTAGTTAAAGCTTGAAAAGGTCCCACTGCTGGGCATATAGTATTGGAGGCACCCGGACGGAGCAAGAGTGGGAGAGCTGCAACTTAGCATCCGGATCTGGAACTGCCAGTTGCGGTTGAACGTGTATCCGGAGGAGGTGGCCACTGAGATGGTGATTGGATTAACTCCATTGAAATCCACATAGACATGCTGGCCAGCGTTCTCCCCGCAGATGCTCGGCACCTGGGAGGCTCCTCCGGTAATGGTCAGCGCGTCCGTGTTGCAAAATCCATCGCCCGAGGGCGGGGCCAATGACAGCGAAAGGAAATCCACTCTCATCTGACAGATAGTAGAATCCGGCGGGGTGACTACTATGGAACAGCGACCTCCGCCCGCATAAGGAGCAGGATAATTGCTGTTATAGAAGTACGTGTTGTTGTACGAGGTACTGGCTCCACACGTTCTTTGGTCTGCAATAGAAATTTTAGGAAGAGATTAGGAAGAGTCTTTAAAGTAATAGAATGGGAAGTACTCACAAATGCAGCATACGGCCTGGGCGGTAATGGAGGAGCAGCTGCCCGCCGCCACACCACTGTTATCGGAGCACTCTCCGTTGATGACACAGGTTCCTATCAGGAGATTGTTCCCGATGCACAAGTCGTTGGAGAATCGACCAATGGTGTAGAAGGGAAACCCTGGAATATAAAAAATATATATAAATATTATTTTATTAATGAGTTTGTAAAAAAGGGCGAGAAATTTTATAACCATTATAAACCTTATAGAATATTTATTTATTCATAAACCCCTCCATTTATCTAATCGCTATCTCGTAAGGTTTTAAATCCCTACAAGAAACTTTACTATAGTTACTAGAGTTAATTAGTTTCATTATTTAAAATATAATATTTTGTAAATCTAAACTTTATTTAAAAAGAATTTATTTTGGCGCCAAAGAGACCGTTATCATAAAACTTTTCCAATTTCAGTTTAGGGCTAAGAAAATTCCATTTGGGCAAGTTCCACTGTATATTCCCTGAAAATGCAATGCGCAAATGGAAATGTTTTCCAGCTTAGTGAATTGTAGGCCACCGGAACAGCTAAGACTAAAGAATCCACCTGCGGTACATGCACAGTGGGTGATAATTGAGGTGTGACCCACATTTTGGCCCGATCACAAAACAATCCGCCATCACTCATCCATCAGAGGTCTTGGTCTTAACCGGAGGAAGAGTCATCAACACACTTACAGCGAGGATGTCGAGATCCACTACGACCCAGACTGGTATCGGCCACCTCCAGGAATGTATCATTTCCGGGAATCACTGTTTCGTTCACTTTCGCTGGCGCCATCGGGACCAAAGTGCTGGCACGTGCCGCACTGTAGATACCAACAATGTAGCTGCTGAAGAAGATGGCCACGAGGGCCAGCAGTCGCGAGGAACGATCACCGGCAGACATTGGTAAGATCACTTTCGGTTTTCACCCGGAGAAGTGGAGCTGCAGCTTAAGCTGGTACGGAGTAGCCACCAAAAGAGAAAGACGTCCGCTCGCGCGTATGAGACAATGGAGACTGAGTCGAGATGGACCCGTGTTTTGGGGGCATAGTGGGCCATGCCAGTGGGCTGGTGCTCAGGTGCTAATTGAGAGAACCCGACAACGCGGGTATCATCTCCAGGGGTGGATGGAGTTTCCCGGAATTTGAAAAAAATACCGGAACTTCTTCTTTGAAAATGAAAATGTTCATCAAAGCTATCTTTTTTTATGAGTTTAGATTATAATTAGAACCTTGGTCTCTATTGCACTTTAATTAAAAGTTAAATTTTAAAAATTTAAAATTATAATGTTGAAGAATTCTTCTTTAGTTTCAGATATCAATGGCGTCTTTTCCATTATTTTTCAAAAATGTAACTTTTAAATTTTCTTTTATGAGTTTATAAATAAAAGATAATATCCGTGGAATGAAATACATATGTAGATAGCTATAGAATTCCATTTCCTTCCTTGTTGGCCTTGAATCCGCTCCTGAGCAGAGATCGTGTGGGTCTTATTTCGTCTGGCCGGGAGAGAATGTGGAGCACCTCACGCATAGGAAGTGGTCGGCAGGCGGCGCTTCCCCCTATTGGCTTTATTCGTTACTAGAATTTACGCGTATTGCTTTTGGGTCTGCCCCGAGGAAAGTGATAGAAATGCCTGGCACCCAATTTGGCGTGGTCGAGACACGCGTGATGCTCTGCAATCGGATAAAAGAAAGTGTCCGGCTGTTTACTCTGGACGGATATGTAAACGCCGGTTGGCCATCTTTTACGCTCGAGCTGGTTTTATGTGGCTATAAATAAAATCGAAAATCTATTCCCATTGTGATCTTTTTCACGTTACAAATGATGTAACGGTACCATCAATCAGCGTTGGCAACGCGATGGCGCGTGTGTGTAAATTGCGACTTGGGGCCGATTTTGTTTGCTGCATTTTACTAGAACGCGCCACGCACGACTCCAATTAGCGGAATCACACTAATTAATGTTTAATCCCAAAAGGAAGGTAAAAGTGGATTGACACTTGATTGTTTTCCAGACCGTAGAAAGTTGCAAGTGATCATTGAAGTCGAGTTGCCAACCATTCCTGGTCATGCACTTTACAGCCCTGTTAAGGGTCTGTTAATTGCTGGAATTAAATAGCTTTTCTTAATTCTATAATTTTCTGCGTTAAATTTTAATTTGTTCTACTTAGATATATAAAAATATATTACTCTTAACACAGATCATTCTTTACCTAAGATAGGTACTAATTATTGCTTCCATTAGCGCATATATTGTTGGTAATTTTAAAATTAAAAGAAATATTTGATAGAAAACATTGCTTTCATAAGCATATTCATTGTTAGAACATGATTTCTCATTATGAGACTAATGACAATAACTAAACTGTGTATTATTTTACAGCAAATGTTGCCTGGCTTTTTATTAAAACAATAACTAGCAGCTAAACGCAGATTAGAAAAACGAAGGTCCTAAGTCGCATCAAGAGTCCTACTCGATTTCGATGACGGCTCCCGCCCTCGCCAGTGCTTCCTTCAGCTTCTCAGCTTCCTCCTTGGGAATGTCCTCCTTCACAATGGTGGGGGCACTCTCCACAAACTTCTTGGCCTGGACAAGGTTCATGCCTTCGAGCAGGTTCTTCACTTCCTTAATTAGCGCCACCTTCTGCTTCTCGTCGAACTTGACCAGCTTTACTTTGAAAGAGGTCTGCACCTTTTTGGGCGCCGCTTCCTCCTCCTCCTCAGCTGGGGCAGCACGTGCCGGACCAGCGGCAAACTGGGGAGCGAAGGCGGTCTCTGGCAGGTTAAGTTTCTGTTTCAAGAGGGTACTCAGTTCGGAGACCTCGAGCAGGTTAAGAGCGGCGATATTGTTGACGATGCTGTCGAGCTTGGGATTAGGTGGCTTGGCTGCACCCTCCGCTGTCGGAGGCACCAGTTTCTCCGCTCCAGAAACAGCGGCTGCCGGAGCTGAGCTGTACAATCGCTGCAGCTGCACTTTCCGGGTGACTTGGCGCAGGACGAGGCGTGTGAGATGCATCTTGCTAATGTCTGTATATGGGGAGAAAAGGTTTAAGTAAGCACTTTGATTTAAAACCATCGAAATTACAATTACTTTGGGTTTCGGCTAAATAATTTCTGTCGGCAGGTTATGTGAGCAGTCAGTGTTGTCTAACGTCTGAATCCAATGGTATTTTTTTAGAGTTGCCAATTTCGCCGTTTTAGATTTTAGTATTTTCTTATCTTAGCTTTTCTTTAAATTATTTTTGAGCCCTTTTCAATAATTATTGACATAACATATATTAAGAAATATTTATTTATTAAAATTACGATTTCAGATGGTATACACTTTTACAAAATCAATTTTCATTTGACCCTCATCCAACCAATGGTCCCGCATCGGCTTAACGGCCTTCCAGAAATCCTTTTGGGCCTGCGGAGCCTTCTCGTTCCATGTCTTCTCATCGAACTGGTACTCATTGAAACCGCCCACGCTCAAGCCGAAGGTCAGGTAGAACTCCTGGTCGAATGGCGCCAGGCCACTGCCCTCCTCCAGTTTTGAAGTTTGTGGCAATCGCGTTCCGCCCACACTAGTCTCGCTGAAAGCTTTTTCGCTGCTCTGGACACAAAACTCCTGGCCATCCACTAACCAACGGATCTGACGCGGTGTCCATTCAAGAGTGTAGTTGTGGAAGCTGTCGCTCCAATCCTCGGCGGTGTCCCCCGTGCCAATCTTTACACATCTCTTGGCGGATCGCAGCGGTTCATCGCCAATAAGTACGGCATTCGCGTATAGATCAATTTTTCCCTTGGATGGTCGGGTGTAGGCTATCCTTATTTGTCCCGATTTGTAGTTGTCCTCCCCATAAACGGGATACTTGGGCTGAAGCCAGATCTGTGGCGTTACCCAGTTGGCCCTGGGCATCTTGGCGCGCACCTCAACTCGTCCAAATTTGAAAGAGAATGCCTGCTTGGAGGTTATTTGAGCTGTTACCATCGGTGGAAGTCCATCGTTTCGAGTTCTACCATTCCGAACGCAGTCGTTGGTGTTGGCCGCTCCGGTACAGGATTCGCCCAGATCCAAGGCATCGGTGGTTCCACGGTGGAAATGCTTCTTCATGGTGTTGGTGGCGAAAATGGCATGACCATTGGCCAAACAAATGGTGTCCTTATCGTTGACATAAACGTTGAACTCGTAGTCGGGCTCTCCGGAAAACCTGCGCTCTGCTTTCCACTTGGATGGGTCTAGATTACTGCCACTGAATTCATCCTCGAAAACCAGTTGACCGGCGCAACGGGTAGGTGCTCCATTGACTTGGGTCTTCGGCATGTCGCACCCGCTCCGGATATCAATGTCCGGGACAGAGGGAAATGTCCACGAGGTAGTCGAGTCCGGGGAAACTGGAGGACGCGGTGTGATTGCTGGACTGTTGTTGCCGCTGTAGCTATTTACCACGTATGACCCGTCATCTTCGCGATAACCCAATCCATTGTAGATTACATACGTCCAGTAGTATAAAATATCTCCGGGCTTCAGCACTGCATTCCGATCTCGGAAGGTCCAGCGCCCTTCCTTCGCCTTGACAATGTCCCGGGCCCACGTTCCCGCTTCCAGGCCCTCCATCTCCTCATTGAGTTTTCCGTGGAAAGCAAACAGCGTGATTCCTTCCTCATGCGGTATAGACACCTCAAATCCTTTGGGGTAGAAGACCTCAATCTTGGCCTTTGGAACTTCGTATCCCTGGCCGAGGGAGATGAGACAAAGGAGTCCGCAGCTCCAAATTATTAAGCGTATGTCCGGCATAATGGGCATCGCGATTAAAACTGGGATGAGCTGTCATACAAGTTGAGCTTGGGAGCGCGAGAAGCTTATCAAGAACCGGTCTGGCCTTTGTTTATTATTGATACACCGAAGAAAAGTAAAAGGGAGATCAAAGCAGATAAGATTATATTGTTTTTTTTTTTAAGAAATAAAACTATTTAAATAAAAGTGTTTTTATTTTTTATTATTTACCAGCTTAAAACATTTCAACTTGGTCATTTTATAGTCAATAGAGGGGCGGGTAGCTTAATTAACTAAAATGTTCTGCAGTGTACGAATCTCTTGGGATTACCCGTGGATTAAGACTCATAAAATGCTGGTGAGGTGTGGGATTTACCCGTTTGCCAAACCTATGTTAAACAAACATATATGGTTCTTTAATAAAATTGACAAGCAGGTCCATTTTATTTACTTACTGCTGAATTTGAACTGGGATCTTTTAAACGACCATTTTAAATAAAGCGCGCTTTTAACAATCCAGGGCTACCAGACTGTTTAAAGTTATCGATTCCTGCGCTGTTAGATTCTGTTCTACGGTAGTAAGAGGTATATAAAGTTAAATTTATTAAATATTATTTATATAAATATTGGTAACTCGCGATAAACTAATCTCCCGCTTATTTTTTAGCTAATAAAATCGTGTAGAGCCTTGAATGAAATCAGCATTTTAGAAAAACAATCGACCAACCCAGTAAGGGGTATCCAAGTTTCGAAAGCTTAGAACAGAGCAAGCTGGCAGGTTCCAAGCTGAATTGAAATTACTCTCGTCTGTGTGCTGTCGTGTAGCTATTGTTCTCGGTAGAATTTGTAGAAAATATCACACATAAAAAAAACTAACAAAAAAAAAATGTACAAACTTTTGTAAAACATAAAATGATAAACTGAACACAGGGGACGACGAATAAAACTCTGGGTGCGCTTATATTTTGTGGGATCGCATTTTCTAAGACAAGTTTTTAATAAATAAAAGACCATCCACCGCTCGAAATAACAAAAGCTAAGACGAAGCCAAAAGACAATAAAATTTAGCTCGATCGTGTGTGTTTGGTGTCGCGGTGTGTTTGTTTTGTGCCAAAATCAAGAGGATATCAACAAAAGGAAGCGGAGATAAACAAAAATACCAGTGGACCGCTGACGGAGCTTTGTTGTTGTAAGTAGCGCAGTTTTATGTAATTCGCTTGTGTACTTTTTTCATTGTTTTTGTTGTTGTTCGATTGGGTAAATCAGCTGTGGCGTTGCCGGACAGCTGGTCCCAATTTTATATAATTCTCTTTCATGTTTAATTTTGGTTAATTCAAGTGACAGAAAATTATTACAATATTAAGGCATTATTTATTTTCCTCTCAACATTGTTACGAGGCCATGTAAAGCTATCGATATATCGATTGCGCTCTGTTACATGGCAACACTGCTGGTGCCGAGCAGCTGTTTTCATCGTTCTAGGGGTGGTCGGGGGAAAGCACGAAACACCGCACGAAAGCAAAACAACCGAGAATGATTGATTTTTCGTCGTGCGATGCTTTCGTGAAAAGTAGGCGACGACGACGAGTGACTGCGAGGAAAAGCAGGCAGCTGTAGAAAAATTTTCACATTCACATTCGTCGCGCTGACGAGCAGAGGGGACGATCTCCGGAAAAAAACGTAGTCCCTTCTAAAATATTTGTCACAAAAAAAAAAAAAAAAATAATTGGCAAAAAATGGAAAATCCATCAAAATTAAATTAGTGTAAATAGTGGTTTTTAAGTAAAATTTTACAGTGCTCCTTTTTTCGAAATTCCCAGTGACAAAAGTATGTGCGTGTAGTCAAAATTAAAGTGCAATTCAATTGTTATGCGAGCAGCTAAGGACGAAAGCAGCTGAAAAAAAAGAGAAGAGAAGAGAGGTAGTTACTAAGAAAACTCGCATCTACGTCACAAGCTGCTGTGCGTTCGTGTGTGTGTGTTAGTGTAAGAGAGTGTGCATGTGTGTTACACAAACCCCCGGAAATGTAACACGCACACTAGCGCAATTGGAAAAACTTGCACCTGAAAGTTTCGTCGTGTATTCCATTTTCCCCATCTTCGTGCGCCTGCTCGTGCAGGAAAGAAGCAGCAACAACAGCAGCAGCCAGTAGTGGTAGCAGCCAAGCACCGAGATCAGCAGAAGCGCAAAGGTTAGTTTTTCTGGCAAGGAATTTAGTTTCCACATTTTTATTTTTCGGCTGTCACTTGCACCTGTCAAAAATCATATTAAAAATTCGTCGGACCTACAAAATCGTGCCCCAGTTTTCTGCTTCTTCGCCTTCGCTTCGAGCTTCTCGCACAATCCAGGGCTGGTGGCATATTATTATTCGCATGTGTGTGTGTATATGTACGTAACCAATTGGAACTGGGGCAACTGGCGAGTACGGCTGCGAATTGGTGGAGCAAAGCAAACGCCGCAATAAACCCCTAAAAAATCTCCAACCCCGTGAAAAGCTAGCTGGCCGAAAGCTGCAACTTGGCCCAGTTACTTTGGGCTCTAATTGCAGACGGTGATAATGGGGAGTGCAAACATGAGTAGCTGCATCCTTTGCATTACGAAAGAAAACAAACTTTAACCGAAATTTTGTTTCCCCGCCACACCCCTCCCCTAAGATGCAGATACATTTAGCTTTTCGGGGTTTACAGGGGGTTGGCAGGTATAAACTGGTTTTCACATTAACATTTTAACATTAACTATTTTTAATGTAGAAAGGGGTTGATTTTGTGGTTTACAACTTTAAAGTATGACTTTTAAAGCTTCTGAGATACATACATAAAATGGGGTAGTGGGGAAAAAAACGTGTAGTAACATGTCTCTATAAACTTACGTAAGTGAAACAGGCACACTATTTAGATTACAGGAATTTTTTTTATGAAAAAAAAAGGGGAATCCTAAATCCTAATCCTGTGCCAAGCAGTCTGTGCTTTTGGCGGCACATTACACTTGTTTACTTTTCGAGTGTGTGTGTGTGTGTGTGTGTGCGTGTGTATTCGTTAGATTCTATATGGGGGTGTGCTGCGAGCCATGGGGGGCGTTACTGTCATTGTTGTTATAGCTGGTGCGTCGTCGTCGTCATCGTCGGTTCGTCGTCTTCGGCTATTTTTTGGGGGTCGCTCTCGTCTCGTTTGTAGGGCAAAATTATGTATTGATTATGCTACGAGTGGGGGGAGTGGGGGGCCTAGAGACTCAAAGAAAGGGGGTGGATTGGGAGCTGGGAACTGGGTATATGGCGGACATAGTGAAGGCACCTGCGGTCGGCTTTTCATGCCCGAGTGACCCATTTCATTGGCACAACGATTTTGTTGTCTCTCTGCATTTAACTAATTAAGCCCCAACCTTCCCCCCTCCATTTCCCCCCTTTTTTTCTGATCCGAACAATAGACGTTTTCCGGTCGGTCAGCCCAAAATGAAGTGCGTGCCCCCATAGAGCTTTGTCTGTTATACACTAGAAGTCAAGAAAATAGTTAAAAATAAGCAGTATCATAATTTAAAATAAAATAATATGTAAAAACTAGATAAAATAATTTAAAAAGTTATATCTAATACCCTGTAATACTCAGCTCTCTCTGCTTTATAGTACTATAATCTTGACCTGAATTGTCTTCTCTATATATTGTATGCAAAATAGGCAAGCATATTTGACCGACATTTGGAACAGTGGGCTTTTCAAAGCCATTCTCGTTCGCCCCTGGGGGTGGCTTTTGTAATTGGAAAAGCGATCAATTGTAATCCCCCTACCTACTCCCTTCCCTCCGTTTCACATGAATAGCTCTACGAGTTTAGAACCTCCCCCCGCCATACCTTATCACATCATATCTGCTCACAAATATTACTCATACGCCAAAAAAGCAAAAGTTTCAAATAAATAACACTCGTGGTGTTTTTTTTTTTGTTTTTTTTTTTTGTTATCGATAATATGATTGATGGCTGTTGCTGTATCCCCGAACACGCATTGCACATTTTATGGCTTATTTTATCGTAGCGAGTTCCCGATATAAGACTCGTACGTGAACTGATAGAGAATAGTTTGTTAGCCATAAAGTTTGGAAACGTAATTACCAGGAAATATTCTCATCTGGGGAGAAAAGCATGCCTTGACTTTGACCTATTTAATATCAGGCCATACAAAAATCTAGTACTGACCTGCTTCTGGTTTCAAGCTTTTTCCAAAAAATAATATAAAAAACCAGGTTTATTTTAATTACTCTCTCAGAGTAAAGGGTTTTAAAAATAGGAAAATAAAAATTAATGTCAAATAGCTATTGCTGCTGGTGCTGCTTCTGCTTGTTGCTATTGCTTTTCTCAACGATTTATTTATTTTTAAACGCAATTACGTGCGGGCCTCTATTGGTTGGCCGTAAAAACGGCTCGTTTCCCCAAACGCATGACGTTGACATTTAAAAAAAAAATAAAAATATTTGAAAAAAAAAAGAAGCAAGCAAGTGGTGCAAAATATGCTCAACTTATCGCGCTTGTCGCCTTTCTTTCCATCTAACGTTTCCCTTTCTCTTTCACTCTCGTTTCATACTCGCACCCGCCACCCGATTGTGTTTGTATTTGGATACCTCCGGCATGTGCTCCTCCCCCCTTTTTTTGTGTTTCGATTCCCATTTCAACGTGCTCCAATTTCCCGTGCACAGGGCACATCTAGGGCAGCAGTGGAAGTGAGGCGCGCATCGGAGTCGCCCAAGTGCAGCCGTAGAAAGTATTGGTGCGGGCACCATGGACTCGCTCAAGTTACCAAAGGGTAAGTCTCATTCTCTGGGTTTGAGGGTGGTGGTCCCTATGGTGATTGACGGTACAATTGGCTAGAAAAATAATCATTTTTTTGCTAGAATTCCAATAATTGCAAGTCATACTAATGCTTTATCCTTCTCGTTCCGCCCCTGAAAAATAGGCAACAGTCCCAACAGCAGTGCCAGCGGCAGTAACAGTAACCTGTCCGCCGCATCCACATCAGCTTCCGCATCTGCATCGGCCGCCACATCGCCCACATCGTCGGCCAACGTGGTTACTGGCATGGCCAGCTCAACAAAATCGCCGCCCGGCCTGAGCAACAGCACCACACCGATCTCGGTGCGGTTCAATGCCAACGAGGAGTCCCTGGACGATATCCTGCAATCCTTCCATCACAGCAAGCTCAGTCCCAGTGGCGGGGCGAGCGGCGGCGGCGATGCCTCGCCCACCTCAACGACCCATAACCTGTTGGGCATGAAGAACAATGGCCTGGGACTCAGTGGCAGTCTGGTGGTGGGCAGTGCCTGTGATTCCTTGTCCAGCAGTCCATCCGCTCCCCAGATGCAAGCGGCTGCGGCAGCTCTTTTTGGTGTAAGTAGAACTAGAACAGGCTTTTTATCTATAGAGGTCCTAGATAGTGATAACAAAAGCCATAAATTTATCGATTATTGGACAACAAATCGATTGTGCTTAATAATCGTGACATCACTAGTCCTTCATTGTCCTTCAGGTTCTAGCTAGTGATGGAAAAAACAATTCATTTATCGATTATTGGGACATGATTAATTAAAACCACTTATCGAAAGCTTTTTTCAAATAATCGAATCGTGCCACCACTAGCCCGTGATGGCAGGGATCATTCATAATTTTGAAACTTTTATCAATGTAAAAAGCCCCTCTAGCCCTTAGATAACAGCCCCTATGTTTACATAATTTTTAGCGACATTAGCAGATTAGTTGAGCCGCAGCTGGCAGTGAACTCGATACTCAGTCGTACCCATATCTTAAACGTATATCCGCAAATTATGATTCATTTTCATTTCCCTCCAAGTTTGTCACAATTTAAGCACAAATTGTAGAGAACGCGCCGCAGTCGGTCGTCAATTAGCATTTTGCTGGTCAAATTAGTAGAACGCTTATGTTTTGATTTCACTTTTTTACAAAAAAAAGAGTCCAATTTTAGTTTTTGATTTGTTTCAGTTAGCTTTATTTTATCGTTGATCGTCGCGTGTGCTTTTGTCATTCAAATAGTGGCTATTTTTGTGGGCCTGGCCGGCAAAAGTATGTGACCGAGCAGGCGGAGCGGTGTTGCAAATGCGAATCGCTTGCCAAAATTTTCAACAGATGTGCCACTAGCTTTCTGATTGCAAAACTCATTTGGCAATATTACTCACTCTTGCAAAATGTGTTCTTTTCTTTTCATCTTTTTTCCCCCACCGGCTGCTCTTCTGATGACGATGATGATGATCCCCACAGACCGATGAAGTGAATATGCGAAATAGTTTCCTGCAAGGCGGAGGCTTCTTTAATCGCAAAAGGTGAGTTCCGATATCTGGTATACCTAACACTTTCCGGGGGGAACCTTCTGATCTGTGTGTCTCTGTTAAGTGTGTTAACTAATAGTCCAATTGTGTGTAGGTGAATACCAGACATAATCTAATAGTTAATGTTGTTTTTGTTGTTGTTGTTGCTACTAAATATGCCTCATACGATAAATACTCTTTCTACACAACCTACTACTCACAATCACATAAATACAATATATACTATATAAATTACTTAAAAATCCCCAGGGTCTTAAGAGCTTAATGGGGAAATCCCATCTTTATCAAGACAGCTGCAACATTAGGAATCACCCATTTGGTATTAAAAGATATTTAATTCATGATTCATACTACTTGTGCCCTTGAAACTAAAACTTTGTTTCATTATCATTGAAAATTTCAGTTTTTTTTTAGTCGCTTGGGTTCGTTGACCGTTGACCCTACAATAAATTACTTTGCCTACACTTTTGTGACTTTGATTTTATTTTTCATACGTACATCATACGTACATACGTATGTATATCCTGCGCCACTTGTGCATTTTTAATGCATTCTGGGCTGCAGCCGGAGCCGACTGCCAATGGCCCTAAACTTGCCCAGCCGACTGCCTCGACGGCTGGCTGGGCTTTTGTTGCTTTTGTCACCCAACTGCATTTATGTACATTTGCTTGCTACTGCCACTGCCACTGCCACTGCCACCAGGTTGTTCCAGGTTCCTGTTTCTGTTACTGCATCTATGGAGTGAACTATGGCTAAGAATTCTGAATTATGAGGCATGGCGGAAGCTATAGGGCTTTTAAGAAAGAGTTTAAGAAATATATACCTATTTTTTTAAACAATTTTTAAGATTAAAGTAATATTTCTCTAAAAATTTATCACTTCTATTAATTACGAAGTATTTTTTAGTCCCAAACTCCTCCTATATAGTTCTTAGTAGTACTACCATACCATACCATCTCGTCTGGGACTTCCACTTCAAGTGCCGCCCTGTCTGGCAGTATTTTTTTTTTTATGGGTGGTAGTGGGTGGCTTTGTCGTCAACGGGACATCAACATCTACGTCACGACACGTCCCGGCCGAGTTGTTTTTTTTTTTTTTCGTTTCGTTTGTTTGTATTTGTGTTCTTCATTTCCATTTGCGGCTTTCCCCCATTTCTTGGTTTAAATATTAAAAAGCACCTGTCTAGCATTTGCTTCGAGGTACTACCTGAAAAGTTACTCTTGCAACTTGTCCCCTTCCCCTTGGCCCTCTCTCGTCTATATGAACGTTTGACGTCATTGAGCCCGTTTTGGTTTTATTGATTTTTTTTTTTAAATGCCGATATACTGATATATATAGTCTTAAAGACCTTTCTGTCAGATTTTCAATTTGGCCGTCAATCAGTCTTAACTATTTTTGTGGCACACGACGTCCCTTCGAGTGAATCCATTTCCGTTGACTTTTTAATTAAATTTCAAGGGCTAATTGCATTTTATAATTGCATTTTTCAACACTGTATGTCGTCGTTACCATGTCGTTATCGTCAGCCTCTTGTCGTGTTGCCTCTTGGCTCTTATCAACCGTAACCAGACTATATCTAAGAGACATCCAACCAACCACCATCCTACCTTTTTTTTTTTTTTTTATCTATTTACACTTGTACACGTTTCTCCATGTTTGTTATACATACATTTCATCATCAGCAACGGCAGCAACATCATAATCTTGCCATGCAACATCCCTCCCACCTACTACACTCGACAAAAAAAAATATTAAAAAATTCATAGGTAGAAAACCAAAAATCTTCCATGTCCAAGTTGGCCTTACAGTTTGGCATGCACTGTGCTACGGTCAATATCAATTAGCATGAATGTGAGAACTAGCAACAACTACAGATACAGATACAAATACAAACAGATACAGATACAGATACTTGAAGCAGCAGCAACAATAACAAACATAAACACATTTGAACTAGTTTAGTTTTCTACAAAAAAATATAAAAAAATAGACCATACATTAATATATATCTATATATACTCGTATTAACCCCTTGCCGCTCACTGTGCCGCGACTACTTATTCAAGTTTCTTAAATTTTTTTTTTGGTTCAGGTTTTTAGAAGTCCTTTCTTTTCGGTTTCGTTTGTCGTTTGTTTATCTCTCTGGGCCATAAAATATTAAATATTAAATATTTGTTTCGGCCGGCTCTCGTTGTCATACATATATCCGTTCAGTGTCAGTGCAGCAATAAAGTGTTGGATTTCCCTTTCATCAAAAAAGTGAAAAAAAAATTAAGAAATAAAACAACTAACAAATATATACTAAGCTCTCTCTGCTGCCTACTTCTAAACCTTCGCCAAACAAAATAAAAGTTAAAAAAAAAGAAAACAATTAAATAAAGCCAGCGTTACTTAAAAAAAATTTTCATTTTGATTGGATGTCACCACCAAAACAATTCTCGCCCACAACCACCACCACCACCAAAAAACCACCGCCACCACCCACCACATTACCACAGCAACAGCAATCCTACACCACAACCGCCAACAACAACAACAACAACAACAACAGCCAGAAGAACAAATCAATTTTAAGAAACAAATTAATTTTTTAAAAATAAAATAAAAGAAAAACGGTTATAAAGTAATATTAAAAGGGAGCAATTGAGGATTTGATTTATTAAGTTTTGGTAGAATTATTAAAAATAGATATAGGTTAAGATATCTGCGCTTTTTTTAAAATGGTCCCCTGCCTTGAGAAAAACTATAATTTCATTCATATGTATATTATCCCCGATATTATTTGAGTATTTTTTCAATATTAAATATTATTTTGAACTATAAGCGGCAATGGGTTAAAATTGTATACAAAACTAAACGAATTATATCTAGAATATTAATTATACCGAATCCGAAGCAAATCCTTGAACAAATTGCTCCTTTTTTCATAATTGCCACAAAACCAAAAAAAAAAAAGCTACTATCTGTTTTGAAATCCAAAATCAGAAATACCAAATCCATCCACTGATCCACTGATTGACAATCTTGACTAAAAGCAATCTTCTTCATCTTTATTGTACTTGTACCTCTTCCTGCAGTTGCAGCGGCCTGCCGCCGAACCTGAATCTCAGCAAGCCGCCTCAGCTTCACCAGCCCCCGCAGCAGCAGCACCAGCAGCTGTCACCCAATCTGAGCGCCCTGCACCATCACCATCAACAGCACCATCAGCAGCACCACCGAGACGGCGGCTCCCACAGCCCATCATCACCAGTTGGCGGCGGCGGTGGATCACCGTACAATGGCTCCCAGGCCGGATGCAGCAGTGGTGGCATTTCGCCCATCCCCCAGATGTCTGGGGTGTCGCCCAAGTATCGTCGCAGCATATCCTTCCCGATCAAGGGCAACTCGCCAACGGCCATGTATGGGGGACCGCACGGCATGGACGGTCTGGGCTGTGGCCAGATGAACATACCCACGCTGTCGATCGGCAACGGAGCCGGCTCCTCCGGTGGCATGGTGAGCGCCGGAGCCACGGGTGGTGGCGATGCCCCCTATCTGGGCAATAGCTTTGGCAGCATGATGGCGGCAGCGGCGGCGGCCAACGGCCAGATGCACCACGGAATGGATAATAGCCTGAGCGAGTATATGCGGGGCATGACTCTGGGATCGGGATTGGGCGGCGGTCTGGGCGGAAGCTGCGGCAACGGCAATGGCGGCAACGGCGATCTCGGCGGCAGCAGTGCCATGTCCCTGATGCAGGACAGAATGCGCATATTGGGCGGCCCGAAGCACCTGAGCGAGGCGGATGCCATAGCTATTGCTGCCAGCGGCAATGATCCGTCCCTCTACCTGAACGCCCTCAAGATGAACTCACCGTCGCGCCTGTCGCCGCACTCGCCCCATTCGCCCGGCTGCCTCCAGGGCAATATGGACGGCTCGGCCCGCTTCTCCCGGAAGGTGTTCGTCGGCGGCCTGCCCCCCGATATTGACGAGGACGAGATCACCACGTCGTTCCGACGCTTCGGACCCTTGGTGGTTGACTGGCCGCACAAGGCCGAGTCCAAATCGTACTTTCCGCCCAAGGGCTATGCCTTCTTGCTGTTCCAGGACGAGAGCAGTGTTCAGGCGCTGATCGACTCGTGCATCACCGACGAGGACAAGCTCTACCTGTGCGTTTCGTCGCCCACCATCAAGGACAAGGCCGTGCAGATCCGCCCCTGGCGCCTGGCCGATGCCGACTATGTCCTGGATGCCACCATGTCGCTGGATCCGCGCAAGACGGTGTTTGTGGGCGGAGTACCACGCCCGCTGAAGGCTTTCGAACTGGCCATGATTATGGATCGATTGTATGGCGGAGTCTGCTATGCTGGCATCGACACTGATCCGGAGCTAAAGTATCCGAAGGGCGCGGGACGAGTGGCGTTCTCCAATCAGCAGAGCTACATAGCCGCCATCTCGGCCCGGTTCGTGCAACTGCAGCACGGCGACATCGACAAGCGGGTGGAGGTGAAGCCCTATGTCCTGGACGATCAGATGTGCGACGAGTGCGAGGGTCAGCGCTGTGGCGGCAAGTTCGCTCCATTCTTCTGCGCCAATGTGACCTGTTTGCAGTACTATTGCGAACACTGCTGGGCAGTGATCCATTCCCGGCCGGGACGCGAATACCACAAGCCGTTGGTGAAGGAGGGTGCCGACCGGCCGCGTGCGGTGCCCTTTCGCTGGTGTTAACGGCGGCGCTGGTAGGCCGCGCTGCACGACGAGAGACGCCAACAGAGAGAGCAACGCCACCGGTTGTTGGACGCAGCGCTGGCAGTGCCCAGAATCATTACACCAGCAGACGAGCGGGCGGCGGGAGCAGGCGAGGATGATGCAGCTTAGCCGAAGATACCAGTAAACGACGACGCATTACAAACACACAGTAACCAAACCAAACCAAACACACACACACCCACAAGCAAAAGACACCTGGCCAGGGTCAAAGGACATGGCCCTGGCGAGGTGCGCGATAAGTAGG